CCCCATTTCCCACCAACAAGATACTATACCTTAATAGACCATATAATAGTATTTGTTGAATACCTTATAGTTATTGAGAAAACGTGACCAGTATAATAAGAAGAATAAAAAAGAATAATAAGATTAAGAAAAAAGGCAAAAACAGTAGACTCCACATTTCATTTGGAGTCTAATAAGAATAAGAAAAGAGGCAAAAACAATAGACTCCAGGTTTCATCTGGAGTCTAATAATGCTGTTAATCTAGAAAATTACGATTTAATCCCTGGCATGCAATCAAAGTGTTGAAAGAAGTAATATGTAATCAGAAAGACAGAATAACTTATTGTTTAGATTAATGATAGATAACATATTAATGAGAACCTTAATTTAACTTGATTGAATCTTTAAAAATAAGGTCCTCTTTCATTAAATCTACCACTATTGAGCAATAATGTAATCACATGTCTGTGTCAAAATGTCAGCTAATGTAAACAATTTCTAGCCACAAATGAGGAAATGTATCATCGAGTATAGTTGTAGTTGTTGGATGGGGGACGGAGGTGTGTTGGGTGCACCCCCTATGACACTCCCTCACTCAAATTTAAAAGGAAAATTATTATTATTTTTTCTAATTGACACTTTGGAAGTGCATAGAAATCACTGAATAACATTGTACCCTTGTACCCCAGTACTATTGAAAGCAGTAGGATTAGATTTCTTTTTTTTATTGCCTCAATTACAAAATGTGTCGAAAATTACCCCTCCCCAAACATTTGAAAAGTAAAAATTCTGAATTATTCTATATTCTATTATTCTATTGTATGGAATACTTGAAGTATTGATAAAGGGATCTGTCAAGTGTCATCATAAATTAGGTATAAATCCAATATATGTAATCGTATCATATATCATCATATTTTAATACTTGATGATATCCCCTTGTTAAGTTAATGAAGCCGAAGAAAAAATAAAAATAAAAGATATGAACTTAGCAAAGTTTCACCTACTGTACTTTCCAAAGTCAGGTCAATTTTTTTCTTAATGAAGTTCTCTAATAATTTATCATATTTTCACATTTTGTTATCATTTTTTTAAAACTTAATGCTTTTATAAATTAAACCCCTGCTTAAATCTCAAATTAATAAAAATCTGTTATGTTGTATGTTACCCAACAAAAGAAATAGTCAATGAAGTAATTATAACTAGTATAATTAACTTAATTAAATTGTTAGACTTAAACAATAAATTTAAAAAGAATTAAACAGTGTTTAATAAGTTATACCACCCACTGTGAATGTAGGTCCATTTTGATCTTATTTTTCAGTTGAAATTGAATAAAATGTTCTCGGTGTCAGAGAGTTGATGATATTTTTACTTATTCACCATCTATTAAAAAGAAATCTTCAAATACAAAAAAAAATATTTAAAAAATGACCCCTGCGCATTCTTTAATAAATGATAAACTGTAATGTTGTGTGATGCTCAACAAGCAATACTATGTTTAGTGATATTAAATCTACCATGGGCTTTCAATTAGAAGGGTATGCAACTCTGTGTAATAACACGAGACCTTCAAAATAAGCAATGCCATGCTTCAATTTTATGGTAAGTATTTGATAAATATATATGTTTTAGTATTATTTTGAATAAAATACAATTTTCAAAATGATTATAGCATAAAATATATTCAATCTCATGTAAGAGTAAACAAAAAAGACCAATAACAATAAGCGGTATCAAGATGTTCCCTTCGAGTATTGCATTGTGGGTAATTATTCAAGAACACATTCCAATAAAAATATAATTTGTGGGAGAATGTTCACTTTCTGTATTGTCATAATTATGATGAATTCCATTTTTTATTAAATTATCAACATGTATGAAGATAATCATGTTTTTATTTTTCAGTTATTTCTTTAAATCATCCATAAAAAGGACAAAATACGATTTTCTTGGAATGTGTACATTCTCCAATTTTGAAAAACCAAAGGCATTGCTTATGTATGAAATATGGGAAGTTGCCTACCCTTCTAGTTGAAAACCCATGAATCTACCAATACAATCTATTTAAAACAGTGCTGCTTTAACAGGAGGAAGTTATTAAAATTTTGTTAATTCCTTTAGTACTAATATGATGACAATGGAATCTGAATTTTAAATAATTTACCATATGCCGTTGTCTTTGTAAATTATCCCAAATTCAGATTCCATTGTCATTGACGATATCGAAGACACTATATGGTGGGGATTCATGACCCAATTAGATCAAAATTGGGGTTTCATATGATACATTATCACAAGAGCTAGATACATGCACTGAATCAGCGACAATAAAGTCCCATGAAACGAAGACCAAGTGATTGAAGAGTTGAAGCGGCGGTTATGTCCGCCATTTGTGACAACGGCGTCTGACTTTACTGTTGTCAGGCTATTCCGGGGTGACTGTATTAATCTGGGAATTTTACATAATGTACTGTGTAGTCTGACTTCAGTTTTTTTCAAAATCATCTACAAGTTTTTAGAAGTTAAAATCAGATTTTATATTCAAGACTTGTCCTTCAGTGACCTTTTGAAGGTCAAGAAAGGTTAAGAAAGGTCAAAAGGTATTTTTCAACTTGCTTCAATCTTCAAATCTTTTTCAAAATTATCTATGAGTTATCAGAAGTTCAAATCTGATTTAAGATTTGACCTTCAATGACCTTCTCAAGGTCAAAAAGGGTCAAAAAGTTCTTTTTTTCAACTTGCTTCAAATTGACCAATTTGTTTTTTCAAAATCACCTACAAGTTCTCAAAAGATCAAATCTGACTATAGACTTGCTTCAAATTGTCCAATTTTTTTTTAAAATCATCTACAAGTTAAAATCTGACTTTAGATTTGAGATTTCACCTTCAATGACCTTCACAGGGTCAAAAGGGTATTTTTTAACTTGCTTCAAATTGACCAATTACATGTAGTTTTATCAGAATCATCTATAAGTTCTCAGAAGTTAGAAATTGACTATAGATTTGACATTCAATGACATCAAATTCACCAATTAATTTTTCAACATCATGTACAAGTTCTCAGAAATTCAAAACAGACTTAGAAAGAACTAATCATATTGTGAGCAACAAGGTGGTGACATTTTGTCATGTTAATGCCTCGTTGAATATTTAGGATAACAATTATAGATCTTAGCTTATATTGCATGTTTTAATAGAATTTGATTTGCTCAGATTGCTACATCCAGTTTGAATTTGGCAACCATTTCTTGGATCTGATATCCTCAATGGGATTACCTCTCGCTACTTTCCTTATTGTGGCACTCATTGATAAAACTATGGTAACATTAGTAAAAACTAAGCAAATTAACATTGTGTTTAAAATATGCTAACATTTAGTGTACATGTGGATATTAAAGTGTTTTAACACTTGATTTCATAACCCTGTTTATTTGACGTTATCTGACAAGGTATTAACCATGATTTTATTACAAAACTAATAATTTAAGGCACATGTTCAAAGAAAACATTTTTGAAAAAATACTATACCTGGACATGTTATATTTTGGTACAAAATAAAGTATGGAGACATTTCCTAATTTGCATCCTTGTTGCATCTTATGTTTAATGAGTTGGAAATGATTTGTAGGCAATCTAGTGTTGTTGAGAAACTTGGAGAAGAAATTAGGAAAATTGAAAAGGCAGCCATTATCTTGAAATATCAGCATTCCTGGAGTTACCATTGACTAAAAGAAGGCAATGTAAATTATACTTTCCTGAAAAAAGCAAGGAAATACACACATGTCTTTATACTTTATTTTGTAGCAGAAAATAATATGGGTAGGTATAGCAATTTTATCAAAAATGTTTTCTTGAACCATTACTTCTTGAAAAATAATTAGGTCTAGGATTGTTCATGGTTTGTATTTTTATGGTACCTAAAAAAAGGTACAATATTGCCGTCAGCTTGATGAGGAGTGGGCGGCGTCTTACTTTCTTGTCATCGCGATTCCAGGAAAACCACTTAACAGATTTACTTCAAATTTTCACACAAGTTACATGGTAAGAAGATCTAAAGCTGAATAACTTTTCGGTGGCTATCTTGCATTATGGCGGACATCTTTGAAGTTTTTAGATAAATCTTGTCGTCATGATTCCAGGAAATCCACTTGACGGATTTACTTCATATTTTCACACATGTTACATGGTAAAAAGTTCTAAAGCTGATTAACTTTTCGGTGGCCATCTTGCATTATGGCAGACATCTTTGAAGTTTTTAGATAAATCTTGTCATCACGATTCCAGGAAAACCACTTGATGGATTTGCTTCAAGTTTTCACACATGTTACATGATAAGGAGTTCTAAAGCTGATTAACTTTTCGTTGGCCATCTTGCATTATGTAGGACATCTTTGAAGTTTTAAGATAACAATCACGATAAGAAGTTCTAGATTCTAGAAGTTTTTGGTGGCCATCTTGCATTCTGGTGGCCATTTTGGAAGTTCTTAGATAAATCTCATAGTCATGATTCCAGAAAAAATACTTAACGGATTTGCTTCAAATTTTTACACATGTTACATTGTAAGAAGTTCTAGAATTGGTTAACTTTTCGGTGACCATCTTGCTTTCTGGGTCATCAGGCCCACACTGCTATGTTTTAGGTACAATATTGTTCACCCTGTGCCTTGTTTACAAATTAGGCATTATGCAGTCTGTAAATCTTTACATTTCTGAAACATATATATATAATTGATTGAACATTATTTTACATTCAAACTGATCACCTCAACCTAAACAAGCTATTTTATCATTTTCTTTTAAGACAAAAATTATGATTTCAAATAAACCTTAAAATGCCATACATTTTGATGGCATTTACCATTTCACAGCTTTGGTTGCCTATAGTGAAGCAGAAATATATGACAAATACATGTAATTTCTATTCAGCTTTATTTATCAAATGATACTGATATGATTATGCTTATAGCTAGCTGTTTTATTAGCTCATATTATATCTTAATGCCTTTCTTTACTTTTTAGCGGAAAACTATAACATTGGCTGGCAGTGATAAAAGCAAGCAAAGAGTATGGCACTTGAGAAGTTTGATGCGCCGTATTAGTTATACACTTTTGGTGATTTGGTACTGTCCAGTTGTAGTAAACACCCTTCGTACATTTGCCTGTTCCAATACTGTGCCAGTGGTAAGATAGCTACATGTAGTTTTCTATTCTTTATAAAAAAGTTAAATGAAATTGTTAACACCCTTGAAGACCCCTTTCTGTTTTCTATCCTTATAATGTATGTATTTTTCTATCATTAGTTATAGCATTTTTTTCCATTTTACTTACAATACCTAGATCTAAAAATGCATTGTAAATTTTTTGTTATTTACTCAATTGTAAGAAATATGGTTTATGATAAAATAAATTTAAATTCATTCATGTTTTTATATATTAATCCAGGTTTGTAAATTTAAGACTAAGTTCATCACTTTCACAAAAGATTTGGAGAAATGACATTAATATTTACATTTAATTAGTTCAAAACATTTCTTTCCTTCCTTCCTGACAAATTGTTGTGGTTGGTGTTTCGTTGTCGGCATCTGTAACAAATGGCAGTTGGCATCTGTAATTAATGGCAGGTTGTGACATTTTGCATATTTATGCCTTGTGTATTTCTGCAATGTATTATATACCTCATCTATACCTGTATTCTATACCTCATCAAGAATTTTTCATCAAACAGACCTTCCAAGATATGTTGATATGACTATACAGTGAGTAATACTTAAGTTAAATATACTTTATATATTATGTATGTTTGTACATCTGCAGCTCATGGTGTTTGACCACACAAGGGATGTCTACTTGTATGATCACCGACAGAGTTGTGGCACATTCATATTTCAGGTAATTACACGGTGACTATCCATGCCCCGTATATCGTGAGCAAGTTCCAACTGACATCCCGAGCAATGAGCTCATGGTAGAAGCGGGGCCTTAAGAGATATGATAGAATTTAGTTATAGTTGAAGAACGTGGTTGCCCTGCAATTGAAATAGCCATTGTACTATGGAATAAAGTTCCACCGAGTTTCACTTCCTAAAGTTTCATAGAAAATTTTATATTTCAATTTTATCATTATTTCTCAAGGCCCTGCTTCTAACATGAGCTCATTGCTCGTGATGTCAATGGGGCCTGGATAGTCCTCGTGAATTAGTGCATATGTTTTTCTTATAAGCACAAAGGGTTTTCTTGTTGCACACACTCTTATTAGCACAATATCTGTTTCGGCACATAAATGACTCTTATTGGTCATCTTTGCACACTGGCTCTGTTTGGACATTGAGTCTTCTTATTCTACACATTTTTCTTTCAGACGTTCAATTTTGTTGGGACAATATTTCTCATTGGCTTTGGAGTAGTGTTTCCTATTGGTCTCATATTTTTTACCCTCAGATTACGCAAGTGGAACCTATTGAAAAAGAAACTTCCTCTTCATGGGTGAGTTGTTTTACAAATGCTCTATCAAATAACAATAATTGAGCTTAACTTTTCTTTTTGGATGAAAATTAAAATGTACAATTTTGTGAGTTTGCTAAATATTTAAATTGTGAATGAGGGAAATTGTATCACTATTTTTACCATTACCATGACCATTACATGTAGCAGTCAATGGCCTAGTATTACAGATATTACAGTACATATTTCAATATAATTTTCGATATGGTCTATCGATAGATCAAAATTGACTGCCCCTCAAAAATGAAAGTGATAGTGACAATTTTTAATCTTCAGTTAATAACAATATTACAAACACATATCTATTTTTTCATTATATAATTATTTCTTGATTATACATACATTTGTTTTATACTACATTGCTTTATTTTGGCAATATCTTTGCTATTAGATCTTTAAGATTATTTTATTATTGCATTTTTGTTACTTACTAGCAATGTATACAAAAATGTAGGAAAAAAGTCTTAAAATGATGAGGGTCTGAAGCTGATTTTTATTCATTTCCAGTGGAATTTATGAGGCATATCGCAGAAATATGTGCTTTTGGGAAGCTCTACCAATGTTGCGCAAGTTTGTATATGCATTGATGACTGATGTCTATCCTTTTCAGTAAGTCTGATAGTCTTTAATAATGTGTAAGGATGATGAAAGACTACAAATCGCAACATTGAAAATAAAGCCAGCCAATTCCCATGGTAGTGTCTCGGAATAGACATTGCGATGGGTAGATGGAGAAAAAGTCAAAATTTGTATAAAATGGTCACTTTTTGGTCATAGTTTTATTCAATCTTCGACAACTTATGAAATATGTATTCTTTTATGTTCCCCATTAATTATACTGTCAAAATATTTGAAAAATCATGAAATATAAGAAGAAATATCTGCAAAAGGATTTTGATGTAAAGTTTTCTTGATAATTGTTCACTGCATGTGTGGCTGTTAGTTAAAATGGGCAATGTAATCAATCAAATTGTCTGAATTTCACAATCATGCACAAGCATGGGACAACAACCAATCATGTCAATTCTTTATGTGTTGTCGCCATGGCTTATGGTGAAAGATTCACCCGCCGGAGTGGAATGTTAAAGACTAGCAGTAGCACTGTCACAGAGTATGTAAAACCAGATTATTCTGAACCAATGTTTAAAAATCACACTAGCTCAAACAGCTGTCAAATTAAAGCAGTTTCCAGTATACAAAACTGATCCAGTGAGAAATTGAGAAGTTCAAATAATATAATAAATATATATACTACCTCAACAATGTATAAACTGTGACTTTTTCAGCCCTCTTGTTCAAGTATGCTGCCATCTATCCACCAGTGTCATATATCTAATAGCTGTCATCTTGGGGCGTCCATACAGGTACCTTTGTATCAATAATGTTGTTTTAAAACAGTAGAGCATATAGTATGGTTTTCCATTCAAAAATTAAAAAGTATCTATTTACATTATTACATTATTTGTCATGTATCATATTAAAGGTTTTCACTTTTATTTTCCCTTTTCTAGATCTAGATACCTTTTACTGAATTGTATCCAAATAACTGGCCAACTGGCCAAAGGGGCAGATAACATATAAAATCACCAGGCAGCTGCTCTTCTTTAACCCAAATGTACCATATTTACAGTAATGTAATTATTATTTCTAGGAGGGTTAGTTGGCAGTCTGAGGCTAGCATCCTGAATGTGCACATGCTGTTTGAGGTAAGTCCAGAGTATGTTACAAATACTATTGATGGCAATTTTGAAGAGATTTCATCTCTTTATTTTGTAAGTGAAATGAGAAAAATGTGTGCCAGTCTACTAAATTCCATACAATTGGCACTGAGACAATGGAACAGAGACAGGGGACAGAGATCGTGGACAAACAAAGAGGGCCCAGAGACAATGAGACAGAGGGACAGAGGCTGGGGACAGAGAAGGAGGACACAGAAACAAGGGAACAAGGGACAGAGATAGTGGACAGAGAAACAGAGCACAACCCGGAGCACAAAGACAGGGGACATAAATAGACAGAGGGACAGATATGTTGGACAGGGAAAGACGGTACTATTATGAGTATTTTACATCTAAAAATAAATGAAGGTATATGGCAAAAAACTTTTGACTCTTTGTGCATATTCACAATCATGAATATGGCTACTTATGATGTTAAACATTGCAGGTGGTGTCCAACCTCAGTATTATCTTACTACAAATTGAGGGATTGTTGATGATACTAGAGATAGAACATGTAGCCATTGAGCTGACAGTACTGGTGTCTGTAGCTGTTGTACTTTTTATATGGCTGATGATGATGGCCAGCGTGGGTTGTGAACATGAAACTGAACAACAGGTACTCTTCATGTATTTTTCATGAATGTTTTAAGTCAGTTACTAATATATACATTTATTTATTTATTTATTTATTTATTCTTCAAGTACATTCACACCCCTTGGGGTCAAGTACATGTTCAAACAAAAAATATAACAATTATAAAGGAAGGAAAAAGAAGACATTTACATGTTAAAAAAACAAACTACATAACTATTACTATATATATTAATTTAATCATTGTGATATGATTCATTTATCACTTAGTTTAGAGACCATTTTCTCGAAAACAATTCGAATGTTCTTGGTATTTTTGTATCAGATAACCCAGACATTATGTGATTTCCAAACTCTGCCAGCAACAGAGCAATATCTTTATTCCATAATAATGTGATCCTATAGTTAATCCTATGTGACCCTATCATAAGCAATCATTAAAAATCAATGAACTGAGAAAATTGTCAATCAAAACTTCAAGAAAAACGATATATCAAAATTAATTGTCAATGTGAAATTACATCCATTTAATTTGGACATCTTTGAACATCACTTTCATATATAATTTTACAATTATATATAAAATGTAAAATGTACAAACATACAATTTTATGTATAGTAAAGTAGAGAGGAATGTGTCAGTAATAAGGATCTTATAACAATACCCCCACCCACCCTCACAAAAAAGAAAAAAGCAATTTTGTAAAATTTTTGTAAAAAAAAGTTTAACACATTAAGTGGAACTTCAAAAATGGTAAAGATCTGCATTTCTGATCTTGTTCACTTCACTTACATAACAAAAGTGAGGTATTAAATTGATGATTCTGTTTTCGCAAACATGTACAATTTCTTAAACATATGATACTAAAAAAAGAAAAATCATATCCTCGAAGTTCCGACATTTTGTTACCAAAATGATCTGTTTCGGTAAACAGTGTAATCGAGTGGAGTACATACTTAGCATCATGTGGCCCTTTCAATGTATGTTCAATATAACATTTTTTGAATGTATGAGAAAAATTCTGATTATATCATGTTCTAATAATGATTGCTTTAAAATTGTGCTACATTATTTCAAGATATTTTAAATTTTGACATTTTCTCACATATGTCATAGAACTTCAATATGAATTCAGAATTTTTGGAGCTTAACATTTCAAAATTCTAAAACAGAAAAAGTAACAATTTAGTTGTAGGAATTAATGCTAAAATATGATTCATGGAAGGATTAAAAAATTGATAAACTCGAGCATCTTTTTCAGCCAACCTTTTATTCAAGTTGTACTTCAAATACATTGTGAAAAATCAGCTTACACATTTTTTGCGAACCTACACAATGGGTTAGATCGCTGGGACTTGCCGAGCTTTAGCTTTGATGATTTTGTAGTTTTGTATAGAATCCTGAGTATATGCTGTTGTATTTGCAGCTGGAGATAGCTGAAGTTCCTGAACCTGTAGGCAAACCACAAGAGGAAAAATTAGAGTTCTGGCAGCGCAATTCTGATGGAGAGGGTGTTTCTATTGTTGAAATAAAGGAAAGAAAGGACAATGTTAATTTTTGAGACATTGATAAGGACTGCTTATTAATCATAGAAATGCTCAATATTTATTACTGAAAATATTGAAATGGCCCCTGCTAGACTATTGTAGATATGAGATTTATCCCCTTGAAAAACTGCCAAATTAAATAAATATTAATTGTCTGATATCCCAAAATTGCCAAATTAAGAAGCGCCAAATTAAAGACAAATACATTATTATTAAAATGAATGCATTATGAACCAAAGCATTATGATCACCTTGCCGGGCCTGTTCTAGGGGTATTAGTACTAGATTAGAAGGCATTTATTTTACTTTATTATCCCATCGAACGAAGTTCGGAGGGATATAGGGAACGCCTCCGTCCTTCCGTCCGTCCGTCCCTCCGTACGTACGTCTGAACGTACGTCCGTCCATCCGTCTGTCTGTCCGTCCGTCCGTCCGTCCGTCCGTCTGTCTGTCCGTCCGTCCGTCCGTCCGTCCGGGCAATAACTCAAATACCGTTGGCCCGATTTTGTTCATATTTTGTACACATATACCCTATGGGGGTAGAAGTTCTGCTCAAAAGCCGATTTTCAAAATGGCCGCTCATTTAAAAATGGCGGCCATTTTAGTGCCGATTTTACAGTAATTTAGGTGCAATATGTAAAACTGTAATAGCAATATGTTTTAAATGTAAAAAAATTATATAGGACATTGATAAGCTAAAAATATAGATATTAAAGAAGCACATGGCAGCCATCTTGAAAAATGGCAGCCTTTACTCGTTATTTTACGATTTTTGCTGTAACTCAAGAAGTAGTGGAGCGATTTTGTTCATATTTAGTATGTGAATACTATAAGCATGGCTCACTGTCAAATGACACTTTTGGTAGGAGGCGACCATTTTGAAAAATGGCCGCCATTTTAACATGTTTTACTATAACTCAAAAAGTAGTAGAGCGATTTTGTTCATATTTGGTTTGTGAATACTATAAGCATGGTACACTGTCTAATGACACTTTTGGTAGAAGGCGGCCATTTTGAAACATGGTCGCCATTTTAACGTATTTTACTATAACTCGAAAAGTAGTGGAGAGATTTTGTTCATATTTGCTATGTGAATGACATAAGCAGGGCACACTGTCTAATGACACTTTTGGTAGAAATTGGCGATTTTGAAAAATGGCCGCCATTTTAACGTATTTTACTATAACTCAAAAAGTGGTGGAGCGATTTTGTTCATATTTGGTATGTGAATACTATAAAGAAAAAGCATATTACTTCTTCTGATGACAACTTGGCCAGTGAGCATCAGTTTTGAAAATGGTGGCCTTTCTTATGTGTGTTATTTTATGATATTTGCTATATATTTAGTTTGTAAAAATGCCAGCCATTTCTGTTCGATGGGATTCGCTACGCTTTGGCGTTGCTGTTGTTCTGGTTGACCTGAGCAATATGTGACGTCATAGTGGCGGGCCAATGATAGATATCATTCAATGCATATAATTTTCATTCAGTGGTAGTCAGTTCTGTGGGCAAAATAGTGAGATATTACAAGGCAATAGTGAGATATTGGCCTTCGGCCCTTGGTCCAATATTTCACTATATTGCCCTTTGAAATGACGTTATTAACATGCAAAATGTCACCACCTGTCATTTATCACAACCACTAACCATTGCCACAAAAGTGTGTAGGTTTTTTGGCCCACCCTTTTTGCATATTATCATTGTATTATTTTTGGAATCCTTGTAAACATACTTGAACATCAATTGCTAATTTAAACAAGTTGCCTATTGTATATTTTTGAATTTGTAAATACAGTAGGCCTATTCAAATGTGATGGTAAATATTCTTATTTTTAAATATGTTGAATTATATTGTATTTAAAATTATTAAGTTGAATTATATTGTATTTAAAATCTTAATTTATTGTTGATTTGTTGTCCAATATATTCACTTTAATCTAGGGCTTATACTGGTCATTTACCCCTACCTTCTAGCAAATTATTAATTGTTAGCCTATTTATTGACACAAACACATATAAAATACCCAGATATATCACAAAATAGTATCTTGAAATATCTGTAGGAAGTGCTTCTCAGATTCACCAGTAGGCTATTAGAAATTCTTCAAAATTGGAATCAAAGTTGACTCAGAAATATTCAATTTACACCAAATATATTAATTAATAAAAAAATGCCCTGGGCCCACAGGGTTGTCTAAAGGTATTGCCATAAAGATACATCAGGTTGCGCCAAGGAGAAGCCTAAATGATTCTGCTGTCAAAATTGGGGGAGGGCGGGGGGGGGGGATTTTTTTGCCAAAATTGTCAAGTTTGGATCCCCTGGAATTTTTTTAATTCTTGGCAGAATTTTTAGATTCAAAGATTATATTGCACTAAATTAAGGGTGGCATTTAGGTTTTTAAATCTGTAGACTACAGCAGTTTGTCTCGGAAGCAGACTAGGAAATCAATGCATTAGGGGTTTTTAAAAATCAAATCATTTTGCCATTTTTGACTCAAACTTTTATTTAAAGGAGGGGGTTGTTTGTCGAATGAATTGGGGAGTTTTTTCATGCATTTCGCTTAACAAAAAACATCAGTACACTTTGAAAAATTTTACTGACTAAGATTGCACCATATAATCCAACAACATATTTCTCATTTTCAAGGATTATCTATGGATTAACACCGAGGTATTTCTTCAGAGGGCTTGGAATCATTGATAATCATAGTTACAGATGTTTCTGATAGACCTTCATCTTGAAATTTTTAATTTTTTCAGACCTCAATAGGTATTTTGTGATTAAGCTGACTTTAGGATCCAAAAATAAATTTTAAAAGTGAACTTTTTGACCTTTTGAAGGTCAAATCAATGCCAACCAATGGTAAAATCTGAAATTGAAAGTCTGATTTGTTCTTCTGAAAATGCGTAGATGATTTTGAAAAAATGGTCATTTTGAACAGAAAAACATACCTTTTTAGACCTTTAATGTCAACATATTTGTTGCCATGGTAACAGACATGGCAGAAATGTTTATATGTTAAACTCATGTTTATATACAGGGTGGTCCAAAAAATTGAACCCCTGCAACATGCTATATTTTCCTTAATACAGGCATGAATCAGCTCATATTATCACATCTTGTGGAGAAAGGTTTAAAATTTTTGTTAATGCCAAAATTTATTCTCAGTCTTGGATTTTGAAGAAATTACAAGACTTAATTAACAAACATGCCTAAAATTAGATAATGTGCAAAATTTTACCAATGTGATTCACTGAAATTGTTGAAACACATTGGATGATCTTACAGTGAGATGTTTAAACCATACCATCTGACAAATGGGACACTATTTGGACAGAAAACACATTTCACACTTTCATTGACCATTTTGAAGCAATTTTAACCATTCAACAGTTAAGGGGCATGTTACCTACACAAACGTTACAAAGTTACCCCCTGTGTCCTCAAATCAAAAAAAATCTGAAAATTTTACATGATAATGATCATCTTTTGAATTTTAACAATTTAATTTGAAAAATATATATACTGTTCGATATATAGTTTTAGAAAACATATCAGACACTTCTTTTGTTCTTGGTATCATATTCGGAATGAAATCCGAACCTCATTGGAACAAAATGACATATACATGTACACAACGTGTTTGGGTCTCTCAATATTGAAATTATACAAAGAAAAGTTTGGTTCATTTAGGAAAGTATCTTGTTAATGAAATAAAAGGCTAACTTTAATTTTTATCTATTTTTGGGGTTTTGTTTTAATTTTTTGAACACTTTTTGTTAGATCTAAATGAACCAAACTTTCCTTTGTATAACTATAATATTAAGAGGTCTAAGAAAATATTGTTTACAGGTTCGGAAAGATATTTGATTTCACTCTCAAGAATTGGTAGAAACATCGGCTTTCAACTAGAAGGGTATGCAACTCTATGTAATAACATGAGACCTTCAAAATGAGCAATGACATGCTTCCCTTTTATGGCAATATTTCAAAAAGTATTAGATAAATGTATATGTTTTAGTATTATTTTGAATAAAAATCACTTTTTAATATGATTTAAGCATAAAATATATTCAATATCATATAAAAGTAAACAAAAGAGACCAATAAGAATAAGAGTTATCAAGATGTTCTCTTTGAGTATTGCATTGTGGGTAATTATTCAAGAACACATTCCAATAAAAACATAATTTGTGGGAGAATGTTCACTTTCTGTATTGTCATAATTATGATGAATTCCAATTTTTATTAAATTATCAAGATGTATGTAGAAGATCATGTTTTTATTTTTGAGTTATTTCTTTTAATCATCAATAAAAAGTACAAAATAAGATTTTCTTGGAATGTGTACATTCTCCAATTTTGAAAACCCATGGCAATGTTTATGTATGAAATATGGGAAGTTGCCTACCGGCTTCAAGTTGAAAGCCCATGGTAGAAAGGAACAAAAAACAATTGCACTGAAAAAACATGAAAAATGTTGACAGTTAGAGAAAATATATATAAATAATGTTCACATTAAATTGTTGTCAATCAGTGACCATTACATAAAGAGTTGTGTTTTTTACACAATATTTTCAATAATTGGTTTAAAAGAAAAACAATGTTGAATTCAATTCACCATATCGATATCCATCCTTAATTTTTGTTTTGACAGAGACCTGATTACAGGAGGAACATCTGACATGCTGACTGAGATCTGATTTTTATGGGTTTTATCACTGTCTATAAGTTGAATGTCTTTCCACCTTTATATGACAAACAAAAGAGTTTTCATTTTGTAAAAGTTTTCCTGGTATTGCATATTGTGAATATTTTAGACTTGGAACATTACTGTAAAACGGGTAATTTTGACACCCGGAAATTTTAGCGATTTTTCAATTTTAGGGGGTTTTAGCGCGGGAAATTTTAGCGAAATGAAGATTAATCTTTAAAAAATCAAATAAGCGAAATGCATTAGAAATTTTATCATTTATGGCAGAAGAATGAATAACGGACATGACAGAGGAATTATCAAAATGTAAGACTCCTAACGCACATGGAATTGGTCCAAACTACTGTAATCTCATGATGGATGGCTATTTATCCTTCAGATATTGAAAGAAACATACGATTTAAAAATATTTACCTTTTTCAAATTACAAACCGGAAGTCGAGCACTGAACGAAAAGCTCCTTAAATACTAGTATTCATGTAGTTTCCCGGGAATTTGCAAATGTTAGCACCCGGTTTATTTTAGCGAATTGAATTTTTAGCGAAACTATAGCGATCGCTAACAATCGCTAACAATTACCCCTCGCTAACAATACCCGTTTTACAGTATTTGAACATTTGTGCAAAACTAAATTATTCTATTGAAAGAACATCAATTATTTGAACATTTGTGCAAAACTAAATTATTCTATTGAAAGATGTCGCATGAGTAGATTAATTTTATAGTCCCTCTGATCATATTGTATAATATCACTTATTTAAATTATTATGCCAAAAACACTAAACATCCTTAGTCGATCAATTTGAAGCATAAATTTTGTTTCAAACATATTATAGTCATATATGTGTATGTGATAAAATATTTGTTAACGTATGATATACTTGCAACTTTAATTATTTTATAAAACTATATTGAGCGGTCCCCAAAATCCAGGGTTTGAAATTGACAACCGAATTCACGGACCTCTGCCAGAAAAGCTCCTCTGTGTCAAGGCTCAATAAATATACTCAAGGATAAGACACGAGATCTTCGGAAAATTTATTTTTCCTTGATTTTGGAGTCAGTTTTTCAATAAATATCACATGTCATACCTCAAACGATGCGTACTGTTGTTACCTTCAACTCCAATCACTAAAGCCAAACATCCAAGAAAGCGTCTGTTGATAAAAGCAAAAAATAAGCGAGCGTATATTTAATGGAGCACTTCGGCTATCTCCGTTGTTCAAATGATTATTCCCGAAGTCAAATGCCTTTTCTGAGAATGTGACGCCACTCCGGATGACGTCACATCAGAGATTACCGAGAAGTCCCATGACGTTTCTTTAAACTCCCGTAGAAACAATAACGACGGTTTATTAGGCTACGCGATTCTTTACTTTCATTGGCTGTTTGTTGCGATGTGACGTAATTTGAGAGACGAACAACATCGGACACTGCCGGAAATTACCGAAGTGCTCCATTATCTTTACGCTCTGAAAATTTGAAATAAATGTCCCGGGAAAAGTCGAATTACAGCGTCAATAATGGATATCATGCAACCATTCAAACTAATACATAAAGAAGAGATTACAGGGTAAATATTGATCAATCAATGTCTGACAGATGGAAAAAATAAAGGTCAGTACGAGGGTCATATTTTTGGGTGGTCATTTTTTTGATGTGCCATTTTTGGCTCGTGTCTCATCTTCCCATTTATCCTTTGAGCCTACTACCAAGAGGGGCTGGATCTGGCTCCGGATCTGTGACCGAATTATTGATTTCTAACATTAAAATCCCGCCTTGTTTCTGTTGATATAAGAAATATTTCGAAATTTTCAAACAATATGATCAAAAGTGATTATATCTCGAAGGGAAATTCATTCTCTTTTCAACGGAACAAGACTCTGTGGAACAGTTGTCATGACGCTGAAAATAACTTTCATCCGCCATTTTGTCACAACTACAACCAACATGGCGGTTGAGCCGAATTACTTCCTGTATTTTCCGCCTTTTGAGAACTACTTTTTGCGAGGACGGGTATGATTTATCTTTTGTTGCAAATATTTGCTCGGTGCTTAGCAGTTTTTTATTTGCATAATCATTATGTGAGAATGCTTGGGGACGCTCATGTTCAAAAACTTTATGCATTTTGCAATACATAATGCAGACAAATATCATTAGCGGAGTGATATATCTTTGATGACAGTAAAGCGTCTGGCAACAGTTGCCGTAGGAATAAACGCCATAGCCACCGTAGCTGTGACGACTGTTACCCGCCAACACGACTTAGGTGACTATTACTTTTGTTTTTGTATCGATATGTTTGTTAATGGTTTAGTGGATGATTGTAGATTAATTTGGTTATATTTTTGAAGAGTCGAAACACAGGGTTCAAGCATAAATTGGTGCGGTTCAACTGCATATGTTTTTCGACCTTCGATCAGAAAAATGGCGACATTTTCGTGCCAACGAACGAATCAATTTGATTGGCTGTGTCCCAAATTATGGCGCCAATTTTAAAAATCTTAAATTTTAGATTCTAGAATTTTATTGATATCATAGAAAGGCCTCTTATTACTTGTCGTATGGATGTTGGCCAGATCGTTTTGCAGTAGGATCTAGGCTCAAGGAATAATTCAACACCAAATGCCTTGAAATGGGAAAATTTCAAAAAAAGTGACCACCTTTCAAAACGTTCCTTATAAGCTTACAAAATGCAGGCCGTCCAACTGTCCCGCAATTTGTGTATTTGTCACGCAAATACGCATTTTACCTGATTATTGTCCAGCAAAAATATTCCTGTAGAAAAAGTTTCAAAAATGATCGGCGATACCACAAAACTGAATGACGAAAAAAAACAAAGGCATTTCGTTCAGACTTTTCACGCGGATACCGTATATGTCACGCATTTCGCTTGAAATATTTCATACCATACCTGTGGTGAGTAACGTTTACAATACACTATATATTTGAATCAATACATAACAGTCTGTTGTTGAAGTAAATCAATGTTCTATTGCCCTCTATTAGACAACAAAACTTTTGAATTTAGATTCCAGCCATTTTAGGTTTCGCGAGATCTCTTGACTTACGAAAGTAAAGATTTGCTACAAAATAACTAGCGATAGCTAAATAAGAATAGTCACGTGATCTTTTTAGCGGCAATGCCCATGTGCCACGGATAGTGGGAAGTCCTCCATCTAGGAGGTATATATACACCAGGTAATGTTAGTAAAAATTAAAAAAAATATGAAAAAAATATGGTCACCTGTCCTCTAGATTCAATTTTTGAATGAATCGTCGTAGCATAATGTACAGATTATTTGATATCATGCTATTCTTGAAACATTTATACGCAAAAATAACTGGGTCGCTCACCTCTTATGCCTATATGTGTTCAGTAATCATCAATTCTCGTGAGTAAAATTTCTCCAGGCCATTGAAAGTTCTGCTCAGTAAATTGACAATTTCTACTGCGCATGTGTCATAAAAAACACGCGAAAATTTTTGGGAACACTATTGCGTTGCCTTTGCGTGATTTGCTTTATTCTAGCGAGATAAGGCTCCCTTAAATTTTTATTTTGAACAACCATTATGATTTGGTGCATTATCTGACCAATAAAGCACATTTGGTGGTATGAATATTTTTTTTATTTTTCTGTTTAGTGTTTTCTACAGGCCCTATGCAGTGGAGACGATGGGCTCGATTGCCGTATCATACTGCATTTGAACGGCGATACGGCAATTGCCGTATAGAACGTCATTATTTGTAATAACGGTTATCTTTTAAAAATCTAAACAATTCCGGACTTCAAATTCATATTAAATCATATAACATCCATAGTAGGTACAATTTTAAAGTATTTTCCATAAATAGGGGGTTCAAATTTAATGACATGAAATATTTTATCCTAGATATCGTTTATTTCTACTCCAGTGCACAAGGGCCGATTACAACCTGAAATCCCTGAAATTGTGAAATTGCAACAGACCCTCCTTGTACTTAATTTCGGCAATATTAAATAAAGAGATGGCATGAATTTTTTTATTGATATTAGAAGAACATATATAAAATAAACTTTTCCTCGCGTGCATTTAAATTCTGCCGTGTGCAATTACTCCCGTGGGTGCTCAAAGTTTCACTTATTTTAGGCAAAAGACAAAAACGTACTTTGGGGGTTAAGGTGCTCTTCAGACATTCCAGAGGCGAGAATAACATGAAACCAGACAGGTTTTAATTTTAATTTTATCGTTTTTATAAATAACATCGTCTTCCTGCATGCATTTTGGGTTTGATTCATCCTTTACACTGACGTTTTAGGTATAAAAGTCTCGGCTTTAAGTCATTACTAGATCGCGTTCAAAGTACTAAGTACCGTTCGCATTACCATTGTTCTCAGACGGACAATGCTGCCTGGATAATTTCGTCCAGCAACCAATTCGCCCAGAAACAAAACCAAGAGACGTATGTAGCAAGTGCCATTTCTAGAAACTCAGTTTAGAGTCGGGAAAGTGACTTGAGAATGCAGGAAAACTGACCAATCAGAATGCCCGATTCCTCAGTATTTCTCAAGTGAATCTTCGATTATGGAGAAACATTTTCACGCTCGAATTCCACCTATCTATTGCACATGGATCGCTTCAAAAGTGATACAATCGGGAAGCTGGTTTTGTCAGCTTCACTATGACATTATGCTTTTAGAAATCGACCGAGAAATGGCGGAGAAAAAGACCGAAAAGTGTCATTTCTAAAACGGCGAGTTTGGAGAGCTAAAAGTGGATTGGGACTGCTAGAAAGCCAGCCAATCAGAACGCAGGATTTCTTATGTGAAACTTGGAATTCGAGAAATCGCCTTTACCTTCTATTTCCTCAGTTTTCTCGCAATTTGGTCACTACAAAGTGGAACCATCAGAAAGCTTTAGTTCCGAGCATAACCATGGTCTTATTTATTTCGAAATCTGTCAACTAATAGCAGAGTTATAGACTAATAAATGCCATTTTTTAAACAGGCAGTTTAGAGCCAGAAAGTGGATTCAGACTGCAACAACATTATGCAAATTAGCTAGACGTATCTAGGTTAGTAGCACACGTATGTGGGTTAGTAGGTTTGCTCTGTCAAGGCCGCGCATGTATCAATATATAAGCAGATCTCGGCCGTTTCAGCATACTTCATACAGGTATGAATCGTTACGTGTACTTTCACGGAATCCACGCAGATTGAAAAATGTTGATATATATTTGATCATTTCCATTTACTAGTATTAAGCCTCAATTCGTAATTATTTTACAGCGGAAATATTACATTTTGCGTCTGAAAACCTACTTACTTCAACCTGAGACTAACATAAACAGATAAAAGGAATTTTAAACTTTATCCGAGAGTTGTATCTCCCGTGTCGCGCCACCCGCAATTAGATATGTATAGTCTCAGCTTCAACATAGGAGGAGGAATGACATGTACATCATACAAACTTCATTCAAATACATACAGTAATAAACTCATAATTATAAAGAAATTCTTGAAACCTTTATTGCAATTGCAAATGCGCAAAGAAGACTTTATTTTATGTATTTGGTTCCGTAATACTTGTCAAACTATAATGCCTTCATGCACATTAGACTGCCAAGAACGTTTTTATAGCGATCTACCACGGGCAATAGATCTACTACTAAGTTTTGTTTTTTCGTGGATAATGGCAAATATTCTACCATTTCCCTTTCCTTCCCATTTCCCAAGGAAAAATCTTTTTAACTGAATCTTTCACAGATTTCATATCGTAAATAAACAGTATCGCATAATATAATCGACAATGTTTTGATTAAATATACTGGCCATACTAACTGACTAATAATTGATATATCTTGTTGATACTAGGTTCAGTCTATTTTCGTAATTAAAAATCAGTGATTTAAATGCTAAACCTAATTTTGAATATTGTTTATCCAAAGTAAAATCGGTTGTCTCAGTGCGTTTGAGATATCAAACATCATACCTTCAATAGAAATAAAAATGTATTTAGTGTTTCAGTCTTAAGCGCAGTATTGATTATATTTAAGTATTGCACTACGGTGGAGCCTAGAAAGTATAAAAATGACTTTTTGATTTAAACCAGTGTAAAATTGAATTTCGAATTATAATATTTGCTTGAGTCGTGTTAATAGACCTTCCAGGGCTGTTGTATTTTGGCGATAATAAAAAATAAATACTCTTAATAAAATTGAAGCACAATACGGCAATTGCCGTATTATGCTTTAATAGCGCTGAGTTGCTAGACATGCGCGTTTGGAATTAAAATAAGACGATACGGCAATTGCCGTATCGTCGTTCAATTGCAATATGATACGGCAATTGAGCCCATCGTCTCCACTGCTATGTGTCTCAGGATATTTGTTTAACGAAAACTAGACAAATAATTTATTTTAAAAATACATATTTTTTATTTTGGATGGAAGCTGCGTAACCTGAGAAATAATATAAGTACAATATATGGAGGACTTCCCATAACCGTGCCATGTGCCTGTAAAGTACAATGCGCATGTGTACGCATGCGCAAGTTAAAAAATGGTACGTACCAGATCTGGAATTTCTCCACTTTAATTTCAAAATACACAACAAGTAGGACTTATTATCGCCACGCGTCATGAAAAGGGCAAGTTACATTCAATTATTTTCTTAAATACCGTTAACTTATTCCAGCGCGCCTGCTGGAAGTTGGAGAAAACCACTTCACAAGAAGGTATACTTCAACGTTCCACCAGTGACAGATTTTGCACTTAATTTTAGGTATGTTATGGGACAAAGATATGACGGGACGGGAATTATCCATTACGCGACATTCGGGACAGGACATAACCAATAAAATAGTTAATAAGTTTAAAACACTGTTATCGATAAAACTACATGTTCTGTCCTGAATTTTCGTTTATTCTAATCACTTACAGTATTGGCCACTCGATGGCATTTACGCATGAACGTAATCTGACAGATAAGTAGTAAAAACGAAAGAAAATTCTAGTTAAGATCATATTTATAGTGCATTTGCGACGTTTTAGGGTCATATACGGGAGAATTAGTACATCCTGAACATGGACCGAAATCTTCGGTACACTAGTTGGGAAAATATCGGGAAACCGTGACATCCCTACTTAATTTATGGCTGAGATATTCATCTTTCTATTTCTACTTTTTGGTTCGATTAAATAATCTATGGACGCAGTAATTTGACTTTTAATACGGCAAATAGTTTTTCACTTGATCCGGGCTCTTGTGTGTCCAAATATCATTGTAGCTTAATTCTGATGTCACATTTCTAGAATCACAGGAGCACCATTCAGATTTGGACAGACAACAGCCCGGCAATAAAATATCACTGTTTTGGCCTCTTATCAACGCAGTATTGCTTGAATAACGTTCATTAGTGATAAAAAAAAAGTTAAAGAAAAACAAGATGCTTCGAATGAGGTATCCGGCCGGGATCGATGTATATATATTGTTATGTAACTTAAACAGTGCAGGGTTAGGTTATTTTACCTTTAGCCTTTAGCCTACATGAAATTTAGGCTAAGCTAAAATGACATGAAAAAATTGAGTTAGGCCTAGACCTAGCCTAGTCTTAGCTCACCCACAGGGGTTTGTATGAAAGATCGCAGAGCCCTCGTATGTCTTCAATCTTTAACCCTTACATCTCCATTTGTGAAAGTCTAAGTTATCTGACACTTGCTTCTGTGTCGATTAGAACTTTTCTTTACCCTTGAGTGGATATTTTCTGCCAAAAAACCAAAATCTAAATGGCAATTTTGACAGAAATTCACAAAATCTCCGAATGAGAAAGTTCAGCAATTTTTTAACGTCATTCTTTCCATCAAGAATGCCATTTTGGTTTCTGGTAGAAAATATCCTCCTAAGATAAAGAAAAGTCCATCCTCCAAACAAAGGCACCCAGAACTCGTACCTCCTTCTTCCAAGTGACCCATATGATTTCAAATTTTGTGATCACAAATTTAAGCACACAGTTGAGTCGTAAATCGGCCCTAAAGATCTTTATTGTATTTTTTAAAGTAAAAAATGTAGGTCATTAAATTGTGTCCTTTTATAATTAACGTATCTAAAATATCTGCTCAACTAATAATCTAGGTATAAGTAAAACTAAAACTTTAAATTGTAGACCATTAAAATTACTCAAGAGTTTGTAACGGAACTCGGCCACATTTTGCACCCAACTTGTCTTTCATTTGAAAACTGGAAAAAATATTCCGCAAGAAAAAAGCGAAATTTTGCAAGGAATAAATCAAAATTCTGGTCAAAATAAAAAAAAAGCAAAATTCTGCAATTTTTTAAAAGACGATTCAATCAATTTTCTTCACAAATCTATCCATTTTTGACTGTCCATTTATTCCAAGAAAATGTAGTTATATAATGAAAAGGTTTGCAAATGTTGTTTTTTGTGTTTTTAGGATAAAAAGTGTATCCAAGTATTAGAACAAGGTTGTAGCTTGTAATGGCCAGCCAGTCTTTTGTATCTGACATGCAGGCTATGAATGCAACTACCATACAACAATCTGTACAAGTGAGTTTTTATATCTAATCTAGTATGTGAACTTTTATTTTATCATTAGTTTGCAGATTTGTCATAACTACACACAACTTGTTGAAGTTCTTTATTTTGTCCCTACTCTGTGGTATTCATGGGGAAACATGTAGTATTGTAAAAAGGTAGCTATTTTCTAAAAATGCATCAATATTTCTCACGATGAAAATTTGTGTACATGTTATATATGGAGACTACCAAATGTATTCTACAGTTGTGTGAAAGATGAACATAATTATTGTCAGATATCAGATATAAAGTGTTAGACATCTGGTTTAACTGCTACAATTACATATGAAATAAGATAATGATGTAATTTTTCATTTCATTTATCATGAATGATATAGTGTCTATACATAAAGCATTGGCAGGTTTTGAGATTAGAATTGTGAGATATAGTCCTGTAAGGTTTAGAGTTATTTTATTTTAAAAGTCAAACCAATTGAAATTCAACCACATTTTGATATGTTTTCTCCTTTGTGCCATTGCCATGATAAGAGAAACATTAAAGTGGTGGTTGCCAAGTTACCATAGAGATTAAATATTAATATTTGCATAGCAATAGAGTTATCCTAGATACAAGCACTCAAGTCTACTAAATAATATAAATGTGGGGATGGAGAAATTGTTCAAATAAAAATGTTAGAAACATGCTAGAATGGTTTGAAAACAAAGGCACTTGAATTACAAAGAAGAATCTTGTGTGAACAGTTCTTTTTCTGAATGAATTAAAATGAGAAATTAATGAGTTGCTCCTCTTGATTTGTATTTTATCAGTCATATAGGTTATGTACACATCTATTTTGATCTACCATGTATTATATTTTGACCTACCGTGCATTTTAAAGGGTTTAGAACATCCATGTGATACAGCTTTTTTAATAAAATATCACAAGATTAAAAGTTTCATTTCCTACTTTATAATTTTTACTGATAGTGCCCTCACCTGTACATTGTACACTTGATTAATGGCTCCCAGATACTCTTAGTTGCCTATCGTTGCTATGGCTTCACAACAACTGTTACCAAGTGAAAATAAATTATCTTTGAACAGCAACTATGACCCTAGAAATCACCTTGGTAATTTGATGCTTGTTTCATTGATCAGTTTAAGAATATACAATATTTAGAAATGAAATAATATAAGTAATGAAAATGAGTACCTCTGTGGATTTAAGTAATAGTTCATCAAGATCATAGTTTATTTATGAAGCAATCACTCAAGATTAGATATTCAAATATGATTTTCTTGAGATCAGATTTTTATTTGGATTATTAGACAATGGATACAATGTGCATGTTTATTGGATTAACATTATTAATTTTGGATTAATTTTTTGGATTGCATTTTGATTTTACATTGCATATTTAGACATGACAGATGGTGTGTTACTACTTCAGTGTATTATTGTAGGCCAGTAACAACCAGAAACCTGGAACTACAACAATCATCCAGCCAGCCCAGGCCCACTCTGGTCAACAATTTATTGTCACCACTGCAGGTAAATAGGTTTAAGTGTTCTTGTGACAATGTTCAGAAAAAATCTGACTGGTAAAATCACAAAATATTCATGAATTTCAAAATTCACAACTTACTGGTTTGAAGAAGAAAGTCAATATAAAAAGTATTCGATGGTGGAGAGTACTTGTCTAAAAGTTGCTACAGCTTTTGTAATATTGAGAGCAGAAATATCCTACATGTCATGGTCATCAGACAGAATGGATGATTGATATTGATTTTCGAAAATCCAATGGTCAGTCAAAACTCAATAGAGTGCTAATAAACAAACACCATAGCCTCGAGTGAAATGTTGAATTGTTGTTTACAGTTTCTGGTTCTGGTGGACAGGAGCTTGATCAATCCCAAGAGACAGTTACCCTGCAGCAAGCTGCTGCCCAGAGCGTCTACCCGGCTCATGTACAGTATGTAGAACCGGACCCTAGTCTTCATGCTGCCACTAACGGACAGATGTACGCTCCCTTCACTACTCCTCACTCTACACACAAGCACATGTACACGAGCAAAATGTTTCAGCGTGTTTTATATCTATTTGTTTGGAGTTTTGATGTGAATGATTGATCCATCCAAATCTTTTGTGGAACTAAATCTACAGTTTTGTGCTCCTATTTCAAGCCTTCAGGGTGTTACACTTGACTATTCTAAAAAGTCTCTGAAAGAATTCTATGTGTTAATTAAAGATTTCTCTTGAGTGTCTGCGATTTCAAATTACCTTGCAAAATATTACGACTTCTACATTGTTATTCCAATTTGTTTTTACTGAAGTCCATTGTAATACATGTTTGTTGTATCTTCAGATGACAGTTGAGTGCTTGTGTGGCAGAGTATCTAACCCAACCCATTACCCACCTATGTTTAAGATTAAATATAACCATCTATCAGTCTATAAATGCCTGTACTGTCTGTCGGGACAGCTTCAGCTTAAGCCTCGTGTATTTATCACCACACATGGTACTTGGTTTGCTTTATCGTCACAACCTACCATTATTTTAGTGGCTGCAATTTCTTTTCTTGATATAAAAGATTTGTGGCTTAATGATTTTATTTGATGCAAAATATGTGATGAAATTAATTTGTGAAATTTGGTGAGTTGAAATCTGATAGGTAATTAAGAGACATGTACACATTTTAAACTTTCCTGAAACTGTGGATTTCATATTTGTGGTAGGTTGTGTTTGATATATTTCCATATTTCTAAGTAACATTCAACCTTTTAAACCAACTTATCTTAAAGGACATTTGAAAGTGAAGTTCTCATTCCACAGTCCACACATATTCAGTATTAACTGGTTTATATGTGCGTCTATATTAATTAGAACTTCATTCTTCTTTACCTTAAGAAGGTTCAAATTCTAAACCTTTATGAAGATTAATTTCTCAGTTGATTTGTTAAGTAGAGGTTTATTTATTAAACTGTGGTGATTGGGTTGTGGATTTGCTTATAATCTATAGACTTTCACATGATTTATAGCAATTTTTACATACTAGGTTCATTCTTTGTAGGCCACATTTTATTTTCGAAGACATTTCAGCCAAGTGGTATATCTTGACTCTCACCTTATAGCATTATCTCAAATCTTGTTTATTTTGTTGATAATAATACATACTTTTATTAATATGTTACTTTTGCTTTTAATGAGCTTTATTACTGATATAGGGTACCCTTTGAAACAGTGCTTAGCTTGACCTTGTTTATTTAGATTCTACTAAGATGATGGGCCATATACATAATTATGTATTGTACATCAAAAAGTTCTAAATGGAGCTTTTTACATCTTCTAAAGTAGATAGTGGCCTAGGTTTAATATGATCTCTCATTTTTTGCTGTATGATGTTAGCACAGTACATTTTCATTTTAAATTCAACATGCAATTTCGAATCGAAATTATTGCGCCATCAATTTGGGGAATGTTATTTTGATTACATTTAATAACATGCAACAATCAGGAAATTAGTGATTGATTTTGTACAGCTCACATCTATTGTGTATTGATCTCTATTTTTTTTGCCGATGTACATTAAAATATGCCTTGTTAATGAACAGAATTCTTAGTATTGGTCTACATGAATCCAAAGTTTCACACATCTTTATATGTTGTAGGCAATCTTATGAGCAATACGGTCAGGCGACCATGTATACTCCAGTCTCTGGGAACTATTTTCAAGGCACTGGCACAGTGCAGGTAAACATTAGTTATCTATATCTTGTCTTAAAATATCTGAAATAGTAACTTTATTTCCATATGAGTATCATGAATTAAAGAGGTATTGTTTCAGCCACCATTTTTTGAGACGTATGACTTTGCCATATGTAACAAGTGGTACACTTTTGAATATGCAGTTAGGTGGTGACATTTTGTCATGTTGATACCATTGTTTATGTTTTTTTGCCAAGGAAAATTCATTTGATCAACTTTCATAATATGAAGCTAACAATATGCTGAGCATAAAATATGCAATGTATAAACTGTATTGAAACCATTCCACCATTTATTTCAGATGGGTGGTCTCCAGGGTCAGATCTTGACCCATCAGGGTGGTACATATTTGGTACAGGGTGGTACCATGGATGGGGAAGGACATCCTTTGACACACACTACTCGAGCATCCCCAGCCACTGTAAGTTTACATATCATTCCACTGCATGGTTTATACAAGAGGATTTCCACAACCATAATGTAACATTTATCACATGATTTCTGAAATATTCATGATCTACTTAAATGCTTTGTTGGTTTCTCCCTGTTTTTAGAGTTATCTAAAGATTTGGAAATTATGGTTTATAATCTATTATTGAGAAATCCGTTGTATTTTTTGGGTAGGGTTATAGGAATGAACCATTTAGTCTAGTTGCTTGTATAAATGTATATGTCCTTTAGAAAATTTTATTTTTGCATGGTGATGTTTAAGGTTGGATCATGTGTTACTTCTCAGTAATATTAAAAAAGCTCAGTTGTAGTAACCAATTAACACAATTGTCAGACATCTAATATATGTTCCTGACATATTGAGTATCTTGGGATGACAATGACAGTCCAATACATAACCTATGATATTAAAAAAGTGTGACATACTGTACATTAACAAACGTATTCAACTTGATATCATTTAATATTTGTATTGTATTTAGATAGATGTCAATCTTGAATGCCCAAGCATGTCAGTAACATGTTTGTATTAAGATTTGTTGATTGGATATTACATTGCTGTAAAATGGTATATTACTATTTGTGACTACATGAAAAGGTTGTTCCTAAGTGGCTAGCTAAGCACCATTGACCAAGTGTTGGACTTTGGAAAACATAATTGTATTCTAATTCTAAACTAATTTAAAGATTTTAAAATGCTGTTGATTCAGCCATGTGCATATGTACCCATTTAGCTAATTGTGAAATGTCTCATTTAATGCCGTGGTCTCATTTGCTCCAATCTCCAACAAAGGCGCGTGGCCAATGAAACCTGAATGGGGTTTTGGACAAAATACTCATCTAGCCAGGCGCTGGTACTGGAAATCGGACCAAATGTGACCATGGCATTTATGAGTAGAAAGAGACTTAATGCTTTGCCTCTGGTGCTTGTTTCAGAAGAGATATTAGTTATGAAATGTTTATTTTCTCATTCATTTATTGCTTTGAATTATCCTGGCACATGTAATAATGGTTGGATCATTGTAGATGCTTAAATGTAATAAAATAACACATAGATTACTATGCATGTATAATATGTATGCATAATAATTATCCTACAAAATTCAAGCCTAAGTTCTAACCTCAATCGCATGTTGACTATCTTTGAGAGATGGGTTGCAGTTTTCTGTAGCAGGCATCATGGTACTTAACTCTATACTGTTGTATCATGGACTGCAGCCCCTCTCTCACTGTAGCTCAAGTACACTAACATGCATGATAGGGACAGATAATACAGCTAAAATAATGCAGACTGTTTAACAATCACATCTCTAGCAAAACAATTCATGATCACATTTAAGCATTGTGAAATAGGTTATTGTTTAAATTACCGTTGGTTATGCTTTCATTTGGGAATAGGGATTTTGGTTTTATGCTTTACAGTAGTTGCAATCTTAAGAGTCTTAAGGGATGGTGTTCAAATGTTAACAGTAAACTACATTAGGCTTGAGAGGGTGGATGACTCCTCAGTAAAGAATGTTCATTTTTTGAAAAATTCAAGTAAGAGGCAAATAACTTTTCAACTTATAAGTTATAATGGGGAGGGGAGTGTTGAACCATAAAGAAATTAACTTTTCATTATTGTCAACATTTGCACACCATGCTTCACTTAGTTTTCAATTTATATCGTGAATACTTTGCTATGTATGTGATCAACCTATGCTATATGGATGTTTTTGCATGGTCAGTTGATATATTTATGGGTTAGTACATAACGGCATGCGGTTAATGTATTGTAGGTACATATACTCCTAGCTTGCATTGGGGGCTGTAAGACATTGCATGATATGATGATTTTAGTTAATTGGATGTACTGTAAGTATGAAGCATGCTATTTGGTGGCAGATTAATCATTTAGAAAGCATTGTCAATGTGAATTCTGCCATTCATTTCTTAATCTAAATACACTTTTGATACTGTGTGTTTAGATTTAGATTATGATTGAATGTGTGGACAGTGCTGAGATCAGCTCTATGATATGTAGTACATGCTCTATTTGCCCCGTGCAGGTGCAGTGGCTAGTCGATAATTTTGAAACATGTGAGGGTTTGAGTCTGCCGCGAGCAACACTATACAACCTGTATATGCGACACTGCTCGAAGGAGAAGCTTGATCCCATGAGTCCACCTCTCTTTGGAAAGCTTATACGTTCCATCTTTGTGGGACTCCGTACTCGCCGCCTAGGGACCAGGTACTATACTGACTTTGTATTGACATCCATATACTGACATAGGTTTCACTCACTGTACATGGCTCTGTGATGTGTGATGACTATGCATTATGTTGGGCTCAGCTACTTCGGGAGGTGGGGGGAGGTGATTACTCTGGCTCACATAAAAGGCATAGTCTCTGCAGTGTCGTCATGGTGACACCTGGTTGCCATGGCGATGAAGAGACTGGCCCTGGTAGTTATAATCCAGACGTGTTTTGTTACAACTATAGGTGCAATGGCTTATTGATAACTATGAAACTGCTGAAGGAGTCAGTCTGCCGAGAAGCACTCTGTATAGTCATTATCTACGACACTGTCAGGAACAAAAAATGGATCCCATGAATCCTGCATCATTTGGGAAGCTTATCCGCTCAGTGTTCCTTGGCTTAAGGACCAGGAGGCTGGGTACCAGGTAAACTAGGTTGCCAACGTAACAACAAACTTTCTCTCTGTTAGCGTGCAGTGCTGTTCTGCTTTCACCACATTCTACCACTCTTCTATACAGAACACTTCAAGTCTAACACTACCTTCTGTAAAGTTCATAAACATCTAAAGCACCAATATTTTCATTTACCACTTTGTCCATTATTCAAAATTTGAGTGTTTTGGTGCTTGCTATTTTGTATTTTATTTATTTTTAGTAATAGATATTCACAGACAATGTTTTCTTAATATTTTTGTGCATACATGACATGTACATATCCAATAGTAGTTACAATACATAAGGACTCAATATAGATAAACTTAGTTAAGCACACATTACTTTCCAAGTTTAAATTCATAAATGATTAGAGTGAAAGAAATGAAATGAATCAGTATTCAATATGATAGATGTTGTTTTTGACTGCTACTGTAGAGAACTATGCTTTCTATTCTATTAAAGACTTAACTTCCTTAATTTATCATTACTGGCCTCAAGCTTATAAATCCTGGGAAAGTAGCTCCTGTGTCAAAAAGTTTGCGTCATGGATTTGTTGTAATAAGACTGTGTTGGTGGGGGGCGGGTGCCTGTAATTGAGCCAGAAATCTTTGAATTCTTTGCATAGAAGTAGTTGACATCTCCAGACAGAGCTTTGTCCAGTTGTATTGTTGCCTTATGTTTGTGTTCACATTGTGAACTCTATATATCATCTACATATATGAGTGTATCATGTCAGTCAAAGTCAACCACTTTTCACCAATTACAATATTTGTAGTGTAAAGTTAATGAGAGCTTACCAGTGAGTTAATTGTAAAGCCAATGGAATATTTATTCTCTGAATATAGGTATTGGGAAGAGAATATGACCATGAACAAATTTTGATAAAGCAACGACAAATGCTTTTGTCGTAAATTGCTTACTGTACTGCCAGTATTTTTCGTGTGTGATTATTAAATTTTGTATGATTGGCGATGGGGTAAAATAGTGAAAAATAATTGGAGCGAAATTTGCCAATTAAATCCACTTGGAAATATAACATTGGGTTGACATGATCACTGTTTATTATTTAACCGTTATTTGCGCCATGGGGTGATTGGGAGTCTAGGGTCTAAAGAATAGTAAAAAATTGTGATTTCTCAAAATTTGCAAAATGAGATAGTGTTGAAAAATACTGAGAGTTCAGTATTCAAAACTTGTTCATGATTGAAACATGAAGTCAAACTGATAGAAATTTGTGAAAAAGACCATATTGTCACATTTGGCATCTTATCAGCGTTCATACATTATATAAGAGTTAAATTATTCTATTCATATATTTATTGTTGATAAATGTTTCTGTTATTTTTCTATCTCAACATTTGTATTGTATGCACCCATGCAAAACACTTCACATTCGACACTGTTTAATTAATGAGAAATTTTGACAACTGGTAGTGCTGTTTTTTAAAAATTCAAGACCAAGCGCTGCAAGAACCAAGTTATTGTGAAGAGTTTTTCAAGTGTGCTTGTTTACTAACTTCCTGTTGCAGATTTATTGTTAGTTGCTGTTGTGTGTGATTTGACTAACTGTTGGCTTCTAACATCACTTGCTGAATTGACTACCGATGCACGGAAACTGAAATCTCAAAGAAACAATGGCATGCATGCTTTATTTAATCTCTTGTAGGGGAAATAGCAAGTATCACTACTACGGAATTCGCATCAAAGGCACATCCTCACTGAATGCATTCACAGATGAGCAGACAAACATGGCCATTAGACACCAGCCAATCACAACTCAGCGAAGGTAGGTTGTGTGTGTGGACTCATCATCATAGCTATGAATCTCTCTTGCAGGAACAATTCAAAGTATCACTATTATGGCTTGCGGATCAAGCCCAACTCTCCGCTGATCCATTTGAAAGATGAGGAGACGATAGCCCAGCGTCAGCCTCCACTTACAAGGTCAGTTTGCATCTGCATGCATGGAGTATCCCACATTCTCTTCACCCCATACACAGCTAGCAGTTCTATTCATGATTTCTCTCAATTCACAAAGACAACAAATACAAAAAATAAATGAAAAATAAAAAATAAATCAATGATTTATTGTATTATCAACAATTTATCCTTTGTAGTTGTGAAAACTGATTGAAATCATGAGAAAATCTGCAATATAGATGGGGCCTCCTTCTCTCCTTTAACTTGTTAGCTTAGATCTTTCCTAACAGACTCCATTAGATGGCTGGCCCTGAAGCAACAGATTGGTGGTGGTAGACAGGTAGTCACAGAGAAAGCAGGACATTTAAGAATTTAAGCCTTGGGCTCAAATTGTGTGCTGAACCATACCACGAAGTATCTTTGCATGACTCCACAGGGATTGCAAAGTTTAGGAAACAACATTTGAGTGGAATGAAGCAGCCACAATGCATTGAGTCTTGGGCTTAAATTCTTTTCACACATTTGCAAAATATTTTCTATAAAATCACCTAAAAGATACAAAATCACTAAAAGAACATATTTTCAATGAAACTTTTTGCAAGGATCGAAGTATTGGAAAACTCAATTTCAATCTCAATCGCTTAGCAACTGTACACAACAAATGTGTTATTGATATTTCACACACTGTTCATTATGTGAATACTATGTTTGGATTGGCTGGAATCGGACACACATTGCCTAGCTCTGTGTGAATTTACTATTAAATTAGAAAGTTGAACCAAGGGAGTTCATTGTTGATTAATTTATTTAAATTTGCTGTCTTCGTTTAATACTTCATTTCTCTGTGAGACTGTCGGCATTTCTTAAGTGAGGAAATTGATTTGTAAATATCCAAACATGTATATCTGAGATGAAATCATATTGTTCTAAACTGGAATGTACGCACTGCATATGTGCCAAATATTTAGTTGAAAGTTGGAGGATAACAGTGATTGAATCAAGAAAACAAAAATTGTTACAAATTCTGCTTCCACAAGTCTGGCCATGTTGAAACGAAGACAAATGTCTTTGTTTGATCCCCAGTGAAGTTGGACATGGGCTTATTTTGCTTGGATTGACTTGGTGATTGGAAACTGCATGGTATTTGGTAGTTATATTACAGTTAATGCTTTAGATTTGTAAAGTGTAGAAAAGTGAAAGCATTTTATATTCTTTTGCAACCTATATGAAAACCAGTGTTTCATATGATTCTTTGAATACAGTACTATTGTACTATTCACCTGTATTTAGAAAGTTTTGTGACAGAAGCACTGTTTTCACTTTTCTCCACTGCTAGAAAGTTTATGGGAATGAGTACATAAATTAGAAGTGCTTTTTGAATATTTTATTTATGTAGTCTGCATGAATTGCATGTTATATATATGCATGTAAAATGTTTGTAAATGTGAATTAATATTTTTTCATGATATTAATGTAATGGTCAAACCAAGCTCTAGATGGCCATACTTGAACATACAATTAAATCAGATTATTTAAGCTACAACACTAACATTTGTAAAATAATATTTATTTTTGATTCTGATTCTGCATAATTTTAACATTTCATAGACATACCTTAGATTACACCTCAGAGCATTTAGACGAGATCATTTATGTTATATGTCTTATTCAAGATTCAAGAACTCAATGGTGAAAGGTGAGGTTGACGGAAGTGAAGGCACTCCTGCTCAGAGTGAGGCTACCACACAACAACAGCAACATCAACAGTTCCTCGGGGATGCATCTACTGCTTTACCTAACTTCAAACACATTGATCTGGCTGGCACTATATTGCCTGATGGTATCACTAAAGACCATGTGCGCATCATGGAAATTTTATATAAAGAGCATTGTGAGGTATGTTGCCTTGAAGGGAAAGAACAGCACTCTATTTTTATTTATTTTAAATACTTTTTCGTTATTAAGGATCAGATGTGTCTGGAGTCTGTTGAATATTTAGTTCTGGCAGTTGGTGTCAGTAACTAAATTGGGTACCAGTTTTAGTTCATTAATTAGCCATCATTTTCCTCGATGGTTGACAATTGCAAGCTGACCCATTGCACAGAGAATCTTGACCCATCTTTAATTAATCTGACCAGTACAATACCGAACCCACATGTAAATATACTGTGTATATATGCTGTAAGCTCTGGTAAATGATAATATGGATTGTATTCCAGGCTCTACTAGATGTGGTTGTGAATCTCCAGTTCTCTCTATTTGAGGCTCTCTGGCAGGGCTTCTGGCGCAACTCAGACCAGCCAAAGTAAGTACACTTTTTATGTCTTCGCCACAAGTGGTGGCATATTGTTATAGTCTCCAACTTTTTTTGTGGATGGTGGCAGGAGTTTGGAATCTGTAACAAATGGAAGGTGGTACTTTACATGTTAAGGCAACATATAAATGTATGTTAGAATCTTGTTGACATTGGATTTTCAATGGACAGTCAAAAAATCCTCAAATGATAAAAATGGTCGAACTGTATAGAACTTGTATATGATTATTATTAATATTGTTATTGCCTTGTAGTGATGAGGCAGAGAGACAGCTACCCAAAGAGAAACTGCATGCACTTTGTCGAATGGCGCCAGTACAGAAATATATCCGCCGCTCTGACTATGCATTCTACCAGGCCTTAGTTGAAGTCCTCATCCCTGATGTGCTCAGGCCTATACCAAGTATGTTCATACAATTATAAATTATGGGATACTTATTAGTGGATTCATTTCTAGTAATGAGAACATAGAATGTAATCAGCAAACAAAAAACAAAAATGATCAATTTGAATTTTATCCTTAATTGTGGCTGTACATTTCAGTTGAGTGATTATGTTTTTTCCTAATAGAGAAAGCTCATGCTTCGGGTTCTGAAAAACCTATTTGTTACTGACATTGATATATTCTTTAATGTGCCTTATTGTGCTTACAGGTTCCCTCACACAAGCTATACGTAACTTTGCTAAGAGTTTAGAGGGCTGGTTGAAGGGTGCCATGACAGGGGTACCTGATGAGATGGTGAAATGCAAGTCTGGCGCTGCCATAGCCTTTGCCCAGACTTTACGTAGATACACATCGTTGAATCATCTCGCTCAGGCAGCACGAGCAGTCCTACAGAACACATCTCAGATCAATCAGATGTTAACAGATCTGAACAGAGTAGACTTTGCCAATGTACAGGTAAGAGACAAGAATTAAATGATTTTGAAATTAACAGAATTGAGCCTGTTATCCATCAAAATTGACTTCTCAGCAATGTATTAATATACACTATCCCTATTTCAGGAGCAAGCTTCTTGGGTCTGCCAGTGTGAAGATGCCACTGTGACCCAGCTAGAGCAGGACTTCAAGAAGACATTACAGCAACAGAACTCGCTAGAGCAGTGGGCCAGCTGGCTAGAGGGTGTGGTTAACAAAGTCCTCAAGCCTCATGAAGGCAGTGATAACTTTCCCAAAGCTGCTAGACAATTCCTGCTCAAATGGTCCTTCTATAGGTAAGTGTAGGTGGAATAGAGCACTGGGAGAAAGAAAATTTTGGTCTCGTATGAAAACTGTGTCATTGTGATTCATGACATCTTGAATCTGGCCAATATTTTGTAGCTTCTTTGGTGATGTACTATAAGGGTTTATTGGAAATTGCTACTATATTCTCAATTTATAAAGAGGATCTTCTATATTATAGAAAGGTGAAAATGATTGAATTATAAAACTAGTTGTATATATTTTATTGATGCTTAATGCCTCTTTGAGCAATTGAAGGGAATAACATGAATGTTAGATCTTGAAAAAAGTAAAGTAAAATGAAACATTAAGAACACTATAACAATTACTGTTGCAGTTGATGTGGTTAAAAGACATCATTACCGACATTTCTTTTGTTTGCAGTTCAATGGTGATCAGAGATCTGACTTTAAGAAGTGCTGCTAGTTTTGGTTCGTTCCACTTGATTCGTCTACTGTATGATGAGTACATGTTCTACCTGGTTGAACACAAGGTGGCCTCTGCCACAGGTGACACACCCATAGCTGTTATGGGAGAAGTGAGATCGGTAAGATTCCCACACTGTTTAAAAGTGATACTGGTGTATATTGTGACTATTTTACTACCTCTTGGTAAAAAACACTAGGTCTTGGTGGTTCATTTGTATTCCTTCTAACAATTCAATTGGTTGCACTTTTAAAATGTGTCTATATGAGTCTTCAATTGTTTGATAAGTGGCCTCTCAAATGTTTGCCTCATTTATTTTCTGATCTACTCCATGTGAGTCCAGTATAACCCATTGTTTGATAAATTACGTAAAATGCCCATATATAACTTGTAAACTATATTTTAATCATGTTTTTGATTTGACAACCAGCTATAAGCTTTCTATAATCTGATCTTGAAATTTATATTGTGATTTTGTCTTTGCAGTTTTTTGACATTGGTAGTGCTGTCAACATGGGTACCATGGAAACCAGCGAAACAAAGACCACCAGTTTGATTGCAAACTCAAACACGATCACCATTAACAAGACAAGTTCTACCTCTCATGCTCATGTTGGCAACATCATCAATAAGCCTATAACAGTGAGCCAGATCCAGGGCCATAAGCCTACAGTGACATATGCCACACTTTCATCAACACCTGGAACATCTATAGGACACCCTACCACTGTAACAGTGATGGCCTCTAGCGGGAATAATCCTGGGGGCACTAAGACCATTGTGGTGGTGCCTGTCTCTAGCACTACGGCTAGTGGTGATGGGCCTATGGTGAAAAGACTCAAGACATTGTAAAATACAAATGTACCTAAAAAATTATATTAGTGTAATAGGCTATCTAGCACCCTTGTGACAGAAAAGAAATAGGAAAAATAATTTCTCACTTGACATTCATAAATCCCAACATTCTGTCATCTGTTGTACATAATGATAAACAGTTTGGAGGTGGATTATTATTGGATGTTAAGTGTGAAAAAGATATGATGCTTGCTTTATTTGGATACACTTGTTTGTTTAAGGTTCAATATTTCCTAATATGTTGAGAACCTTATGAATTGTGACCACCTCATCAGATACAAGTTGTATCTGTATATTGATATGAAGCAAGTTAAGGGTTCTTTCTCACATGTCTACAAGCAGACTTGTGTTGTGAATGTAGTTGTGTTGTCCAACAGGGGTGTATGCCAGCAGCGTGACAACAAAATGGTGCTTAACATCCTATATTCTTGTAGCATTAAATTAATTTTGATTGTTCTCAGATATTTAGTTTGCAATAGTGTGCAGTGAACATTAATTTAGGCTTTAGATTTTTGATCTTTTGTTTAACATGGCACACGTTTACAATTCATTTGGTGTTGGACAATATACATAAGCCAATCTAGTCATGGCCAATGGACAACATTAAATGGGATTGTGTACTAAAGTTTGTGCTAGTGAAAGTAGTATTTAGTTTGAAGTCTTTTTATAGGTATTTTTGCTGCCACTTGTGCCATCTGAGAAGATAAAAAGTAAAAGCTGAAGATTTGTGAGTTTTATGATTTGGATTAAGATGAAGTTCAGCATATTAAGTTAATTTACTGAAGATTCCTGTAATTTGTTTTCTAGATATTGCTTTATATGTACATTAACTACATGTGCTGTAGTTTATTAGTTAAACTGAATTCCAATTGTTTTAGTGGTGAGGGACGTGTATTTTTAGATGAGATATTTATGTACATTGATTGTAAATTGTGTAAATAGTATTTAAAGCGCAACAAGCAAGTCAATAAAAGGGAATTGGTGTCGGCAAGATTTCACTTTGAATTAGCATTTCAGAAAATCTGTGTTGGTGGAACACCTTTGATATCTGAAAATAATGTATCACTTGAGAGGTGTTCCACTTACAGAGAGGTATTTTTACTTGAGTTAATGCCATTCCAGATTTTGAAAATTATTCCACTTGTGGGGTGTTTAACTTCAGAGGTGTTCATAAGTTTTACTGTATTTCAAAAAATCAAAACTGCCTTGTATTTTTTCTCATATTAACAATGGTTTCATTAGGCAAACATTGGAAATAATTTAACAATCAACCTGAGAGATGTTGTTCACTGTACTGCTAATGAACCCTTTGTTAATAATTTCCGTTTAATCCTTGTTTGTGAAATGAAGCATGCTATGTTGTACAGAGAAGTTACATTAATGGCTCTTGAATCTCTGACATTGAACACTCAGACACCAGACAAGTCAATCAAAAATAAACTGCTGACTTGTTATTATTTATTATAGCATTGAGTTAACCTTTTGCATATTCATTGGTAGATACTTAGGGCAGAAGATCTTGGAACAAACTTGAAGAAACTGGTACTCATTCTGCACTTGTTAAAATCAGTACACAAATCAGATTTAAAAGCATCGATGGAGTATGTAGTTTTAAATTAGTGTATATAATCTGATATAAAGTGAGATGAAATTGGTTGTGTTTGTGATCTGCTGTTATAGATAATCTGATAATATGAATGGCTGTCGTGTGTGAGCCTGACTTTATATACAACATTGTAAAGGAAACATGTAAAAATGAAAATGTGGTGCATATAGACAGAAATAGTAATAATTGTAAATAAATGTAAATATTGTTCAATGATTTGCTAGACTTTGCATTGTAATTCATTATTGTTATAAATCCATAAGCAGAGGAGTAATATTACAAACTGTTTCTTCTCCATAACCTAATTGGTAATCTGTGTTTTGATCACCTTTCTGTTCTGAGGTTCTACAATATGCTCTTACATTTAAGAGAACAAATTACCCGTTATCCATTACAAATGTCCCATTTTATGAAACATGCTACTAATTCTTCTTCGAATAAACCTTTTAAATGCATATAAGAATTGCAACTGTGATGGCCTGGTGACAATGATAGTCTCAAATGATGAAGTGTAAGTTTGAATGCAAATGATGAAAAGTCTCAAATTGTACAAACTATTCATGTTTGATTTCCATGCACAAATCCTGCCCTCATTCATATAGCATGGTATATTATTATTATATTGATAAGTATATCAATCTCAATGTATGTGATAAGACAATAAATTGTCTCCTTTGTTCAATATTATCTCATTTATACAAAATATTGTAAATCACTCACTTTTATTTCTACTTTCTATTAAATATGGAATGTGTATTCAGTTCAGATTTAAGTTTTTTGTTTGCACAGATATACAGGTGTATTATTGTAAGAGTATGGATAATGTAGATATTTTCCATACTGATTGTATGATTTCCTGTGCCATCATATACTGTGCCAGTTACAATTACATGACAGGAAGGCTGTGAGATTATTTCAGGACTGTGCTCTGTATAGTTAAGTGAATGCAGGAATAAAATTATAAAATTAATTCATTAAGTTTTGTTGTTGTATTAAATATAGGTATTAGATAAAATTATGTCTCACTCCTCAGAAACAGGAGAAAATAAGTACAGTCTCACGAAAATCTATCCATATATTTTATGTGTATATGAAAACATGCCTTATTATCCCAATTAAGAATGTTTGGTAGGATTATGGTGAAGTCCATTACTTCCTTAAACTCAATTTTCTTCATATTGGTGAAAAGATGAATATTTAGCAAAGGATATAAATTACAGTACTGTTTAAGTACAGTACTGTATTTTCATTTCAATCCAAAGCAATGGGTAATTCCTTGCTCTTCAAGTTCTGTAGGCTTGTAGGTCTCTGACCATTTTTTGAAGGATCTGAAATTGCCTGACTCCAAGTCATTGTTGGACTATTCTATAACACAGGTATGGTGATTCAAGTTCAAAGTTTTCTGTAGTAGCTCTTGTGGCCATAAACCTGCTGCAGCTGAGTAAACCAAACTGTCTAAGGGCCAAAGACAAGTGAAATAAATTTATTTATGAAATATACATGTTAGTATACTATACTTTATTTAGAGGTCAGAGTACTTCAAAAAATATCATGGGACTCGATATGTTACACTGTTGCAGCTTATTTTATTTCCAACTGGAGCATAAGAAGAACAATGACAATGTGGCTTTTGTTTGTTCTGGAATGATTTATTATTTCTAAAAGGCAACAGCCTACTGTATAAATATATCACTAACAAAAACAAAAAAATGATTTGTGCATCACATAAACTGTTAATTTGGTTTATTATTTTGACAGCATATATCCAGCATCCCTACTTTAATTTGATGAAATACCATTTACAATTAGTCAGGAGAAATTTTAGTCTTAAATGTATTGCAAAAACAATTGTATTGTAACATCTTGATATCTCTTGAAAGCCCTACTCGTACATGGATAGATCCAAGATGGTTGGAACTCTTTGGTACCTTGATACATAAGGGTTATGTACTGGGAGGTTTTGGATATGGGGTTTATCCAGAGGGAGATATGCATATCTACCTGAGGGACCGTAGGGACCGAAGGTAGATGTGCATATCTCACGAGGGAGGAACCCCAAATCCAAACCGACCGTACATAACTGCTTTATCCTATACCAAGTAGAGTTTTCAGGGGCATATGACCATTTCAATAGTACAAGGTGTAAAAATAAACAAATCATTCATATGCAAAGTCATTTTATTGCATTTCCACTACTTACCGGAAGCGGGAAGACATGCACCGAAGCGGGAAGATATGCACAGAAGCGGGAGATATGGCGGGAGATATGGAGGTTCTGGATATGGAAACCTCAAAATCAGGATACGGGATATATCTTTCCAACTTATCTCCCTAAAACTCTACTTGGCATAGGATAATCTGGTTTATTGAGCATCCATGATGTCTATTTTACATATGCACATATGGCAAGATTTATTGAACAACATGTTTGCCTTATAACTTGAATAACAAAAGAAGGCTAAGATGAATGTTTCAGTTATATCATTTAAATGGCATACGTTGAAATCATGAATTAATCCAAAACTTGTAAAAACACACTGACCCGCAGTGATGACAGATATGGAATCTTCTGACTGCTTCAAAGTATACAATACAGCACATATAACATTTATACAGTTTTAACCAGATATCCCCTGACTTTTTGGGTTGGTTGTTTAAGGTACCAAAGTTAAGGAGCCACATCAAGTATATTCCATCCTTCCCAAAGGAAAAAGGTGAGAATAGATTATGGCACTTGTGTCTCATGGCTTCCTTAATACCAAATCTTGAGAATAATGAAACTCATACATACAGGGTGTCCAAAAAGAATTGAACCAAGACACGGAATAACTGTGAGTGTTCATGGGCTTTCAATTGAATGTCCATGGAGTGATGAAGAAATATTATTGGAATTTGGTCATTTGACAGACAAACTACCTATTTTTCAATATTTGAAATTGCACTTAGTTCTTCATCAAAAATTCAACTTAAGCGAAAAAATAGTTATTCTCGTCTCATTTCAGTACAATTATTTTGGGAAGCCCTGTATTATATTTGTTATTCATCGAACTACTGACATAAATATGACCTTTGTTCATGTATCATATATTTAGATTGAAATGTAATAATCACACTTCTGTATGGTTCTGCTCATTGATGACTGGTTGCAAAAATCTCAGACATTTACATCTAAACTTACATTGTAATAGTTATAATTCACATACACATCATTTACAATACAGGGCTCAATACAGCATTAACTAATAAATGTGGGGAGTAATCACAAGCTGAGTTAGCACAATTACACATACAACAGATATTTTAAGCAGCTTTGTAAATGAACTTTGGTTGATCGACCTATCTGAGCATACAATGGATTAATAACATTTACCACACATACAGGGTGACCAAATATACAATGCTATATTTTCTCACATACTGTAAAATGGGTAATTTTGACACCGGGAAATTATAGCGATTTTTCAATTTTAGGGGGTTTTAGCGCAGGAAATTTTAGCGAAATGAAGATTAATCTTTAAAAAATCAAATTAGCGAAATGCATTAGAAATTTTATCATTTATGGCAGAAGAATGAATAACGGACATGACAGAAGAATTATCAAAATGTAAGACTTCTAACGCACATGGTATTGGTCCAAACAGGATGGATGGCTATTTATCCTTCAGATATTGAAAGAAACATACGATTCAAAAATATTTATCTTTTTCAAATTACAAACCGGAAGTCGAGCACTGAACGAAAAGCTCCTTAAATACTATATCTAGTATTCATGTAGTTTCTCGGGAATTTGCAAATTATAGCGCCCGGTTTATTTTAACCCCGGTTTATTTTAGCGAATTGAATTTTTAGCGAAACTATAGCGATCGCTAACAATTACCCCTCGCTAAGAATACCCGTTTTACAGTATACATTTTCTAAATAAGCAAGTCATTCCTCAATTATTTTCATATGAGTATTAATACACATCATTGTAAAAATGTTTTCCTATGACACAACAAAGACATTCAATACATGGTTTGAGTTTTAGAAATAATGTTGACCATTGAATACTGGTATATACATGTATATACGGCATGATTGTTGAAATCTGGTGTATATTCTAAAATGACAGTAACTCAACTAAATCTAAAGTTGAATCTGAATGTGAATTTTTACTCATGAGTTGCATTTTAATTGAGTTGGCCTGTATTTAAGCAATTTTCTATTTGAGTACATACTGTATACAAACTTTGGTTGAGCATCTAGAAATACACACTACTACTTTATACTTTATCAAATTTTCATCTGATGATCACTCCAATAGAGTAACTTTTATCATTTAACACAAGCTGGTCCAGAATTAACAACAAAATTACTTATACAACCCCATCAGATTAGTTTGATCAAAATTCAGGTACATCTCGTACCTTGGTAGAATTGTTGAAACATTTGCTGGCCTTGTTTCAAATTCAAACTCTATAAATTAAAAGGCAATGGCAGCAGCTTTGTGGGTCTTTAAAATCTGATCATCATCGAAACTGTAAACTTGTCTATCATACTCAGAGTGTAGTAATGAAATTTCAGGGTTACTCTTATATTCAGCTTGTATACATTCTAAGTTTAAGCAAATTACATATAACTTTAAACTGTAGGCCTATAGTAAATTGGTTAATTAGGTATGTGCTTTAAATTGGCGATTCCCGAATTTTGCGCAAGATTGTCAATTTAAATGTTTATATTGGTTGTGGATTAATAGCATTCTTCTTTGAAAAATGTCAACCATTGACTAAATAACGTCCAAATCCCAAAATCCAACAAATCCAAATCCAATATTCTAAGAATGACAAATTTGCCAAATTCACAGTTTGGTCTCAAACTTGAAAAATTGATAGCGATTAATCAGTGAGATTTTGGATGACTGCTAAGTAAACATTTAATCTGTAAATGGCTTAAGGTACAGTTTGATATGATAAGGTTTAATTTTATTAATAATATATGATCTCATGTCAATATAGTCCATCTATTGAACTAGGAATCATTATTTTTTTTATTCAAATTTAACGTTACTCTTACTCTCTTTTGCTATTTTATCTTTTGCTATTTTTTGAAATATGGCTATATTCAAAATTTCTAATCCTACAACGAGAATAACAGGCCCGAAGGCATCCATAAATGTTGGTATGCCCCTTTTGATCAAATGCTCACGATCTTGTTGCATATCTAGAAATACACCATCCATTTGAATGCTGGTGCAAATCATAATGCAGATGTGGAAAAGTTGGTGACTGTGTCCAATAAAGTCACACATTCCTGGGTTAAACTTCTGAGGATAGGACGAAGCAAAGAAGATTGCACTTGCTAAAAACCAGAGGATCTGATGTATATGGTAAGTGAAACTTTCTCCACAGCCATGCTCATACATATAACAATTGTAAACCTTGTGAACAATCGGCATGTTTAACCATATGTAAATGCAACCCACTGGCGTCATTTGCCACATTTTACGGGTGAATGGGTAAGGCCTAGTGTAATATATCTTTGATATAGTACAACATAGACATATACAAAAGCCTAGAAGGCAACCAACTGGCAAGTAGACATTCTTGAGCAACTCGTATAGGCTATCCTCACTGCAGTATTGATAATGTACAATAACACTCCCCAGGCCATACAGTCCTATACCTGCATAGTCGACCATAAAGGCAACATAGTGAACTAATTCTGATTTCGACTGGAAACAGTGAGCTCCACTGCTACAGACATACAACAGTGATCCACATATTAAACCAGCTAGAAATGGCCACGTGTAGGCATCATTCACGAAATCAACTTCATGCGAGTATTTCCAGATTTTGCTGATCATAACTATGGCTGCAATAAGATGAGTCCAGACATTCATGACTTCATTGTGGACTTGGAATATACTCAAGAAGTAATAATGCCACGGCTGGTCAACCTGGCGGAAACCACCGTTAATATGAGGCTCTCTGAATACAAGGGGAACGTCCTCTTTGTGCGTTGTTGGAACTAGTGGAATGATACTGCTGTTACGACGCAGTCCTGGTTTACCTGAAAATGGAAGTAAAATTAAATTACAAAACCACAACAATTATTTGTGCAAGTTTAATATACAAATAGTGTAAGACTTCGCCAAAATGGCCAAAATTACCTCCTGCATTCGCAATGTCAAGATTTATTGAAAAACCAAAATGGTTGCAAGAAAACAAGATTGGCACCCAAAAGTTAATCGAGCTCTAGAATTTGGTATCCTATATCATTTGTACGGATTTGAAGAAAATCCAAATCCCAGTTTTCCTTGATCGGGATGACAAGATTTATCGTAAACCTTTCAAAATGGCTGCCAAAAAACAAGATGGGCACCCAAAAGTCAATCAGCTCTAGAATTTGGTATACTCTATCATGTGTATGAATTTGATAAAACTCAAATGTATCAACTCAAGGAACTTCCAAAATGACTGCCAGAAAATAACATGGCCATCCAAAAAGTTCACCAGCTCTAGAACCTGTTATCCTCTATCATGTGTCGGAGCTGTTGATTTGATTAAAAACAATATGTCATGTGAGATGACATAATTAGTAACTGTTTATATCATAATGGATTAGATAGAAAGTAGCTTCATTTTGTCGTTATGCTAAGTATAGATGTAAACTGAATATAGTATTAAAGATCCATCAATTAAGACAGATCTATCAATAAAGACACCTGAAAATTTTAAATAAAAAATAAACAAATAGGGTATCGTACCCTTGATTCCATTTGTCGCTGCATGTCCATTCTGTATGACAGGCTCACTTTGAGAGTATCTCATTGGAGACATAATGGTTATGGTATGCACTAGAATCCTGTCAGATCCACACTTTAATATCACAGTTTCAGGTTTACGTGACTAGATCCTGATTATATTGCACATAAAAGGATGAGATCAATTCCAGTCTTGCTTGATAGAATAGTATGTAGAATCTACTTCTTCTGAAAATATTGATGTATCGGATGTACATTCATTAATACATAATTTTGCGAATAAAAACAGGTTAATTACATCACAAAATTTAAATGAGGCATTAAAATTGGTAACAATAACAACAACAAAAAGTGTAACTATTTGTTACGAAGTGTAACCACTGTTACACACACGAATCCTGGTCCGAGACCCAAAATTGTATCTTTAAGATTCAGAAAAAGAAACCAGTAGATTCTGTACTTACAAGTGTTGATGATTTGGCCAGGCTGTTCCAAAGTTGTTAAAATTACCGATGGATCTACAGCTCTGCAGCTACTATTCTACACAAGAAGATCTGTTGAAGCTTTTGTAATTCGTTGTGGTCTCATATCCTGATTCACCTGCGTTATAGTCCAGACCTGCAAAACAATAATTACACAGACAACATATTAAATTATTATCATTATCCATGATGCACATCGTTGATATTCTCATTCATATACATATGTTTACCAACAGTCTTGCTGATATCAAATCACACCCATATACATTATATACTATATGCATGTGGAATAACCAATAACATGGAAATATTACATTGATTTTTGTCAATGCTGGCTATTTCACTTATTTTGGTATAATCAATACTTGATATTTGATTTCTTCACTAGATTAAAATGTTCCTCAATGCAGTGCTCTATATAATTCTTAAATGGCTTAACTGGTTCACTGGCTCCTGTAATATAAGGGTTGCATCTTTTCCTATATTAAATGATTTAATTCTGTGTGAAACTAATGCATCTTCTTATGGAACCGAATGATTTCCACAGTTCAAAAATAATTGTCCATGAAATTTGATGGCATGAGGGCGTAAACTGACAAACTATTGCCATTATGTTACAGAATACAGTATACTAAATGGCTTGATATCTGCCATGGCATTCCCTAATAGTGTTATAACAGCCATAGCAATCATGTGCTAAATTTCACATTCATTTCTCTTTTTCTTTGAGACATTTCATTTACAGGTAGACCGTATATCATATTTATTAATTTCCCACATATTTTAGTAACCTTGGAAACAGGTGTAATAAACAGAATTCTGTTAAAACAGGTTTTCACTGTAAAGTAGATACACAATGTTTATATTACTACAAAGTAAGAATGTATATTGCATGCATTGTTGCAGTATTTAGAAATAAGGGGAAAATTTGGGAATGTAACATATATAAGGACCTGTGATAAACATTTTCACTTATTCATTTTCAATTGGGGAGGAAAATAGCACACCCATCAGGGGCGGATCTGGGAACCCAAAAAAATTCATATTTAATAAAAAAAATTCCCCTAAAACCAAAAAGTGGGCCCAAGTTTTGAAAATTTGAGGCCATTTTTCTTCAAAATTAGGCCTAAAATTAAATAAATAGTACCATGGGTACTGGGGTCATATATGGTGTTGCTCAAAAGTAAATGATGGATTAAATGGCAGAAAATAATAAAAACCTGATATAATTTTTTGTAAAAAATGAACCAGGAGTCATGGGGGAGTTTTTTTGTATTGATGTTGAACTAAAATAACTTAAAACAGGAATCCTATTGACAGAGGTTTAGAGGCAAATAGTCCAAAAATGGAATTCACAAGATGAAAATGGTGGCCATTTTGTAAATAGGTGAGCTTTTGAACCAGGAGTCATAGGGGGGTTTTCTGTATTGGTGTTGAACAAAAATAATTTAAAACAGGAATCCTATCAACAGAGGTTTTGAAACAAATGGTCCAAAAGTGGATTTCATGAGACAGATGGACCAATCAACCAAAATGGCTGAAAATAAAATAACAGATATAATTTTTTGCCAATTTTCTGTAACAAAATTATTTCGTACAACTACTATTTACAGTGACATGGCTTTTTACAATGCAGAACACCTGAAATTATTTATAAAGCTACCAAATGGTCCAAAATTGAATTTCGCAAGACGAAAATGGCCGCCATTTTGAAAATAGGCGAGCTTTTGATTTTTTGGGGACATTAGGCAATTTTTTTTCTGGGCCCATCCAAGGGGGGGGGGCAGATCCGCCAGTGCCCATCCCCCTCCTCTAAGATAAGCTGAAATATGATTTGAACCTACTTTTCTTTCAAAAAGGTACATTTTTAACATCAGGCCAATAAGCTCACAACAAAACTCAAAATCCCTTTTTAGCACCTAGCATGTTTCATACATTAACCTAAGTTTGAACCAATGAACCTACTATCTGTACTGTTATATGTGAAATTAATCAGTTGGGGTGACCTGCTTGTCTCATATGATGAATAGAATTCCAGAGATTTTAAACACTCCTATTGTAGAAAAATAGCTACTTATATAGTATCATGACCAAACCACACCAAAGAACAAAACATAACACTGTGTTTTACTTGAATTGTACCAGGTCCAACAATCAATCATACAAGGTTAAAGGTATATATAACTCAAAATCTCCTTAATTTTTTGTAAGGCAGAACTGGAGATATAAGCCTTATAGGGGTGAGATAATAACAACCAAAAATCATTGGTATTCTTTACCATCTCCTACAGTGATCTCCATGTTACATGTTATTTGAGTATGTGGTATCAAATGTTGAAGTTCTTTAAAGCACAACTAAAATAATAACTTAGACATAAAGTAATCAATTTAATAATGAATATATTTGGATGTGTCATCAAATCAGCAATGTGGCAACTTAGTCTAACTGTTCCATTCTCCTGAACATGGTAGTTGTTTAATGAGCAATACACATATATCCACATTATAGAAAAATAAACAATCTTTAGTTTTCCTGGAAGATTATTAACTTGGGATGTTTTTTAGAAATAAAATGACAAAAAGGTTATGTCAAGCTTTTAAAACTAAGACCTAACTAAAGCAACAAATAATCAAAATATAGATGTATATCAATACACAGAAGTCATATTTAGCAGTTATGTCCCTATCATTGAATATATGCCTGAGGTCTGTCACCAATATAGCCCGAGCTTGCGAGGGCTATATTACGACAGACCGAAGGCATATATTCAATGATACGGACATAACTGTTGTATTACATACTTTTATATCATGGCTACGTTATATCAATGACGCCACGTGTCTGTGTGCAAGTGAAATTAGGAAGAAATGAAACATGACGTCCCGATGACGTCATAAGATTGTCATGGTAAAAAGTTTGACGGCTATACAGGAATATATAGCCGACCTTCAGCTCCATTGACTTCAATACAAATGCTTCGCTGGGTATGTAATACAATGATTTATTGCTTTTCTCTGAAATACCTCAACAGGTCATTAAGATAATACCACAGTATTTCCTTCCTATTCAATTCAAGAGAGGTGTAAAAAGATGTGTTTAGAATCACTTGTTTAATCCCTCTCACCACCCCACACACTATACTAACTGAAGCTTCAGTTATGAATATGAAGGAGAGCAGAGAACTTATACACTGTTGTTTCACACCATGCAGATGTAACTTATATCCTGTTATCAGAGGTTATTTTATTCTGTCTTGTAAAGTGAGAGGATTGGTATGTTTAAACTTTGGTTGTGGTGGTCCAGATGCAATATCTCGGTTCCAGTAATTCCACAAATTTTAATTTAGTTGGTATAAAAACAAAATGCCCAACCCTGAATTCTCAATCTATTGTGTTACTAGTTAATTAAAAGACTATTTGTCAGATGTGACCTTCATATACCAACACTCTGAAGGTTTCACCCAATAAGGAGCGGCTGTCAGTGCAGACAAATATTGAGAAAGAATAAGATAAATAATGCAATGACATGCTGGCGTGATACTTCACAAATTCATTCTTTAAAACACAAAAAGTTGTGATAAGTTGCAGTGTTTCAATAAAGACCGTATTCCTTTTTTGCCCCAAGCAAATTGATCTTGACCTCATTATTTACACAATTTCTTCAAATCCTTGCATAAAAGAAGAAAAATATTCATCTTCTCATTCTTTTCAAAATCAATAAGTTAAGGCATTGAATAAAAAAACAACATTAATTTGAACTCTTTTGCACTTGAACAAGATGTTTAATGTTGATAAAATCAAACTTCGACTAACTCAAACTTCCAGTGAAACCCCTTACCAACTAAGTCTAGTGTCCAAATACCTTACATTGTATAAACAAACTTAAAGAACTAATTGTTGTGACTGATTTCATAAATGTGAAGTTGGACAGTAAAGAAAAGATCCTTCTTCCTTCCTTAACAGGATGTAACAAATACTGTCCTTTTATGGTCATGAATAGACCACAGCTGCATTAATACAGTTCAAGAAATAAACACAAGAAACGTCAATAAAAAATGTTCTGTCAATGTAAAATTTCAACATCAGGACCATAGGTCCCGAGGGCAGGTATGTTGTATTGGCCAAGGGATAATCCTAATATCTTGAACTGACTATAGAATGTTCTGTTTATCCCATACCCCTGTATGTATATTCAGCTGAGTACTGAAAATGTCATTGCAGAAGTTCTTTTAGAATATTTATGTCCAGTTTTGCCTTAAGCTGGATTTCCCCTTTCTTTCAGAAATTTAAATCATCAAACTGATCGTGGTCATCTATGTTTGTTACAATTCATGTTCACAGTAATTATGCGAACACCTTACAAAAATGCACTGACATGCGAATGGTGATTATGATGTAGCAGGCAGATGATGTAAAGCTGATGAAAATACAACTCTACAAACCTGCTGTACTATACACCTCAAGTACGTTCAAATATGGGATAAAATATATTTTCCTCTGAATAAACCCTATTTCTAGACTGAATGTACATAACAGATGCATTCACCATACCTACTAAGTTTTGTGGTAGATATCACACTCAAAACAGTTTTTGCTAAAGTGGAGGAGCTATGTATCTGTCCAGATACCACCTTTCTACTAGATACAAGATACATTCCAGCATATTTAACTAAACATATACCTAAAACCCTAACAGGCAGGGGCGGATCTGGAACCAACAAGGGAACGGCCTAAACTGAAGGTATGATGAAAAACTTCCACAAAAAAATTTAAGGCCCTTAAAACCAAATAGTTGGCCCAAATTATGAAAATTTGAGGCCCATTTTCTTCAAAATTTGGCCTAAAATTAAAAAAATAAGGCCTTAAAAAGCCAGGCCCCTGCCCCCCCCCAGATCCACCAGTGATCCGCCACAATAACCTCAAATACATAACTTACCAAAATCTCTCTCAATCCTAGTAATTAATATAACACATGGAGCAGATGTATCTCTAGTGGATCATTGCCATTGGATCTAAAATACAGACACCCTCATAATATAATACACACACATATCTAATACCTGCTCTCTCTCTTTTACCCAAAGTACTGCTAATTTGATATTTCTAAACAATTTTTGTTGTTCAATTCATTCTTGT